CGAGGACGGCTCATTCTCCATTTTGCCCGACAGAATGCCGACCTCTGTCGAAGACGCCACGAAGCAATTCGATGAAGCGCTCAAGCAAGCCTTCGCTGCCGCCGCGGACAACCAGGTGGTCGCTGCGGGCAAGGTGGCCGAGTTGATCGACACGAACAAGAAGATCAACTTGAACCACGTCCACCGCTTGATCAACGAAGCGTTGGTGTCGTCGGACGCGACCCACCGTGAAGTGGCGGCCCGCGTCGTCACTGCCGTCGCGCTCAAGAAGAACACGCGCGTGGAACCGTACACGGCGGGCTGGTTGGTCAATCTGTTGGACGCGTACGCGGACAAGAAGCTGAACGTCCGTGGGCCGGCCCAAGAAGCCGCCAAGGCGTTGGTGCAATCGTTCAACGAGAACGCGTTGAGCTTTGTGCTGCCGTTGATCTTCCAAGGGCTGGACCGCGTCAAGAAGTGGCAAACCAAGGAAGGCGCGCTCAACTTGATCATCGACTTTTGCGCGCTGCACCCCGTGCAAGTGTCGCGCAACTTGCCCGACATCATTCCGAAGGCGACCGAGCAGATCTGGGACACGCGCCCGGAAGTGAAGAAGGCGGCGAACGAAGTCATGATCAAGGCGTGCTCGACGGCGTCGAACGCCGATATCGAGCCGTTCATCCCGGCCTTGGTGTCGTGCATGGCGAACCCGACGGAAGTGTCCGAGTGCGTGCACAAGCTGGCGTCGACGACGTTCGTGAAGACGGTGGAAGCGCCCGCGTTGGCCATCATGGAACCGTTGTTGGTGCGTGGGCTGAACGAGAACAAGACGTCGGTGAAGCGCCAGACGGCTGTCATCATTGACAACATGTGCAAGTTGGTCGAAGACCCGGCCGAAGCGTTGTTGTTTACGCCCAAGGTGCTGCCCACGTTGAAGCGTATTATCGAGTCGGTGGCCGACCCCGAGTGCCGCGACGTGGTCAAGCGCGCCCACAGCACGCTGCTCATGGCCGCCGGTAACGTCGAGCTGAGCGAAGACGAAGGCAAGGTCGAGTTCTCGGCCGTGTTGGCCGCGTTGAAGACCATCATCGACAAGATCCCGGCCGCCAAGAACGCCCACATTGACGAAGCGACGCTCAACTACGTGGCCGGGAACGGGTTCTACCTCACGTTGGCCCGCAGCTTCATTCCGGAGAAGTGGTCCAACTCGGTCAAGCCGTACCTGCTTGCGTTTGTGGACGAGCACGAGATCCCGCACATCACCAAGGACTTTCGCGAAAAGTGCTTCAAGGACAACAAGCTCAAGATCGCGGACGACGTGATCCAAGAAGACGAAGGCGAAGACTTGTGCGACTGCGAATTTTCGTTGGCGTACGGTGGTATGATTTTGCTCAACAACGCGCGTTTGCAGCTGAAAAAGGGGCACCGGTACGGTTTGTGCGGGCCCAACGGCGCGGGCAAGTCGACGTTGATGCGTGCGATTGCAAACGGTCAGTTGGAAGGGTTCCCGTCCAAGGACGAAGTGCGCACGGTGTACGTCGAGCACAACTTGCAAGCGGAAGAAGCCGACTTGTCTGTGTTGGACTTTATCTCGAAGGACCCGAACTTTGAGGGCGTGTTGTCGCGCAAGGAAGTGTCGGACACGTTGGCGTCGGTCGGGTTCACGGACACGATGCAAGCGCAAGCGGTCGGGTCGTTGTCGGGTGGGTGGAAGATGAAGCTCGAATTGGCCCGCGCCATGTTGATGAAGGCCGACATTTTGTTGTTGGATGAACCGACCAACCACTTGGACGTGGCCAACGTTGCGTGGTTGGAAAACTACCTGACCCATGCCGGCGACGTGACGTCGATTGTGGTATCGCACGACTCTGGATTCCTCGACAACGTGTGCACCAACATCATCCACTACGAAAAGAACCGCAAGCTCAAGACGTATGTGGGCAACATGTCTCACTTTGTCGAGCTGCGCCCGGAAGCCAAGGCGTACTACAACTTGGAAGCCGCGACGTTTGCGTTCAAGTTTCCCGAGCCGGGGTTCCTTGCCGACATCAAGAACAAGGGGAAGCCCATCATCCGCATGAACAACTGCTCGTACCAGTACCCTGGCGCGTCCAAGCCGTCGATCAACAACATTACGATTACGTGTGCGTTGTCGTCGCGCATTGCCGTGATCGGGCCCAACGGCGCCGGCAAGTCGACCATGATCAAGATGTTGACGGGCGAAGTCGAGCCGACGACAGGGACGTTGTGGAAGCACCCGTCGATGCGTTTTGCGTACGTGGCGCAGCACGCGTTCCATCACATTGAAGAGCACTTGGACTTGACGGCGAACCAGTACATCCAGTGGCGTTTCCAGTCTGGTGAAGACAAGGAATTGATGGCCAAGGAGACGCGTAAGATTTCGCCGGAAGAGAAGGCGCGTTTGGAACAGCCCGTCAACTGGGAAGGCGAGAAGCGCGTGATCGAGTCGATTGAGAACCGCCGCAAGCTCAAAAAGTCGTTCGAGTACGAAATCAAGTGGGTGAAGCTGCCCGACACGGAAAACTCGTGGGTGCCGCGAGAGAAGCTCGAAAAGTGGGGCTTTGAAAAGTTGCTCCAAATTGCCGACGATCGCGAAGCGGCCCGCGCCAACTTGCAAGCGCGCCCCGTCACGGCCATCGCCGTGCAAAAGCACTTGGACAACTTTGGGCTGGGCGCTGAATTCGGCACGCACTCGCGCATGCGCGGTCTCTCTGGCGGGCAAAAGGTCAAGGTCGTCTTGGCTGCGGCCATGTGGCTCAACCCGCACATCTTGGTGTTGGACGAACCGACCAACTATTTGGATCGCGACTCGTTGGGTGCGTTGGCGACGGCCATCAAGGAGTTTGGCGGCGGCGTCGTCATGATCTCTCACAACCGCGAGTTCACTGACCACTTGGCGATCGAAACGTGGAACGTCGAGGCCGGGTTTTGCTCGATCGAAGGCCAAGTCATGGAAGACAAGACCAAAATTGAACAGATCGACGCGCAGGAGACGGTCGACGCATTTGGCAACAAGACGGTCACCAAGGTCAAGCGAAAGCTCACCCGCAAGGAGCTCAAGGCCAAGCTCAAGCTGAAGAAAGAAGCCGAGAAGCGTGGCGAAATCTACGAAGACTCGGACTTGGACGACTACGTTGACGAGTAAATAGATCGGTTGGCACCGAGTGCACCGTCGTCGCAGGCAGTGCCTTTGCTGGCTTGGCCACCCTTTATCTCTAACGATTCAATTATTTTGCCATCTTGTGGGCGATCCCTTTCGAACATTCTCACGACCCCAGTGGCACTTAATTTCACACATCTCATATGTCGTTCAAATGTTTGGCGCGCGAAATGGGCGCCACAAGGCCACGCCGTGGTGTCCTGAAGAAGATGAATGCCTTTGCGCTATCCTTCTGGGAACGTCCTGCACGAACATAAAGATATTGGTACTTTCACGTCGATATTGGTGCGGGTCGGAGAAATGGCGGTGTATGCACGTGGGAAGGGCCATCCCGAGATGGCGATGAGGCAACGTTCGTTTGGGTGATGCTTAGAAGAGTACATTTGCATCCAAGGACCTCAATCGACGAGCCTTCTCCAGGACCATCGACAGCATTACGTTTATTCAACCAGCGTCATCTCTATAGTCCGACCACGTGCTTCTTGGTCTGCCGTCGAGCGGGATCATATCGACTTCCCGCCGCCGCGTGTTAAGTGAGCGCGAACATGCGTCTTGACGTTCCGCCACCATTAGCCAATCAATGAGAAGTAAACATTATTTTAGCCAATCATATCGGATTATTTTTCTTGTTTCTTTGGCGGGACTGTTGCAATCTGTTCGAATTTTAGCCAATAGAATTTGATACCGGATTTAAACGAAAACTCTACAGAGAAGATTTCGATCGCGTCTGGCGACGAAGGGACGAGCCGCCGCGCCACCAGCCCTACATCGACGAAACAAACTCCTCCGACGCGACATCATGCGGGTAGACGTGTCAGGTAGAGATTTTCCCATGTAGCATTGCGTTCTCATGCAGTGTGTTGATCAGGAAAAGAGAATTGCCCCGACACTTCAGACGCGTTTAGCTGGATCACTCCTGTCGTGCTCGAGGACGGGTGGCTCGATAAAATGGACTCTTCTGTTGAGAGTGAGTTATTCCCTGATATCGCATGGAATGATGGTGTGTCGGATGCATTATTCCATGGGGCATCGGCAACTCCACGATCGGGTAACGTTGCCGACGAAACTCCGCCAGCAAAGAAACTCACGAGCCCTCCTCGTGCGAAACCTACGGCAAAGCGATCGAAAGGCGAAGTCCTGCGCCTATTGGAACCACAAGCGAAAACGATCTCTGCACATCAGCAGGGCCATCCTTTGTCGACAGATCACTCGCCCACCTTTCTCGACGACTTGATTGCACCTACGAACGCGACAATACCTACCACGTCTTTGTCCCGCATGACGGCCACAACTTCGTTTGGAGACGCTCCCCAATCCGTACAGACTTCGAATCTTCCGCCGTCGTCGACAAAGAAACGGTCTTGGGGTGGATGGAGCTGGAACGACCAGACAGTGTTTTTCCAGGCGATGAAGTGCAAGTGGAATTCCCCCGCGCAACTCTCCAAACGATGGGACCAACTCACGCGCAAACTTCCACACAAGTCAGTCCGTTGCATCGACGACTTTTACCACGCGATGGTGTCACACGTGCATGGACTCCTCTCCCTCGTTCACGTTCATCTGAATATCGACTCGTCCGACGAAATCCGCCTCGCGCTGTCCTGTTGGCATCGTGTGTGTTCGTCCGAGCTCGACATTTCGAACCCATTGCACAAGAAGCGTCTCGCGGGCCGCTTGAAGCACACGCTGTTTAAAAGCCGGAAAAGCAGCGAGGCCGCCATGTCGTCCAAAAACGCTAAAAAATCGGGGACGTTGCAAAACCAGCAGCCCACCGCTTCGACCATCTTTTCCATGCTGTCGAGCAACAATGTCACCGCGACGACTTCAACTGCGCCCAAACAATCCTCGATTCCTGCTGTCGTGCATACCCCGCTTGTTCGCAAGAAGCGGCCGCGTGTATCGCCGTCCGCTTCGGCCACGCCCGTGTTGGTAGCTCTGACACCTCCACCGCCATCCATTTCCGGAACCTCCATGTCCTTGTCGGGAACCCCCGCCGGCGTTGGTGCCCCCAAGCGACAGAAATTGTCTCCACTAGCAACAGACGCTCGCAAGCGGCAGATTAAAGTCCGGTTCGTGCCCATCGACAAAGTGACCCAAGCGCTCGTGACAGACATTGGCGCGCGCCCAAAAGTCGAGCTTTCAATGAATGGTTCCAAGCGCATCTCAGATGTGTGCCAGCACATGATGACGAAATGGGCTGCCGTCCAGTCGTCCGATCCCACTGCGACCATGCAGTTCCGCGTGGTGCCGCTGGGCGATCGAGTGCATCCTGGGTGGAGCGTGAACGACATCAGTGTAACATGTTTGGACATCTTGCATCAGTGTCCGCCACAGCCGGCCACCGACGACGACACAGTGACCCTCGAATACCGATGGGAGCTCGCGCCCGCGCTATCGCTCGGTGAATTGCTCCCCACACCTCACAAGCCGCCTTCCCCAAGCCAGTCCTATCCTGCGTCTGAAGATGCGACATTCGTCAACCTGAACTTTCTCCCAGTTCCTCCGCGCCACCCCAACGAAGACGACACCGACAACGAGCCGTGGCATGACTTACGGGACTTGTCGCCGCCGCTAACACATCCAGCACACGCCGCGGCACCGCCGGATGCCGCCATGTCCCTGGCATCCACAGACTTCAACAGTTTCCTAGATGAAGGACCTGGTGCATGCACAGCATGGATGGAATCGTTCCTCCCTCCGCCGCCGCCGCCAGAACCCTCCGTTGACCACGCACCCGACAAATGCAGAAATGCCGTGTGGCCGCAGCAGCCTGACAAACCAACCAAGAAACGGATCACTCCAACGCTGATTTCGCAGCCGACTGCTTCGTGATTTAATGTATTGACTCGGTGACTACACAACGGATGCAGGGTGAATGGGCTACTTTGACTTGGGGACACTTCGTCGGGGCGTCGTCTGCTGTCGGAGGAGTCGTCCACATGCATCGTGCGCGGCTTGCTCCGATTTATACCGGCCGACGTAGATGGGTTTTGCATGCGCCGAAAGACGGACGCGGGCTTCAAATGTTGTTTTGCGGCGGCACGTGACCAGACACTCGGGAGTTGCGGGTTCGCTCGGATCGAGGAGAGCAGGGTGCTGCGCGTGCAAGCCGTCGATATTGATCACGTAGTCCGACGTGGTCGACGAGGACCGCTGGGAGAGCGGCGCGCCGTCGGTGTCACTTTGGTTTGTACTGGAGGCGTGTGTAGATCGTGTGTGCTTTTGCAAGACGATGCGCGAGTACACTGGCGACGCCGCAGACGAGTCGTTGGGGGAATGTGGCGTGGAAAGCCTCTCGTCGTCGTTGTCACTCAAGAGCTGCCCCAATCCGGAATACGGCGTCACACGTGGCGACGACTGCGCGCATGCCGTGTACTTGGCAGCGGACGACTTGGGAAAGAGCTCTGGTACCATCCACAACACCGACGGCCAACGCGTCGCGGCAACGGGAATGTGCCAAGGAAGGATGGTTCCAAGTGCCAAAAATAGGTAACAATGCGTGTAAATGGTCTGTTCCGCCATGGCGCACTTCGTCGGCAACGAGTGCTGTCCCTACTGCATGTATCCACCGACCACATTGTGAAAGCTGTACTCGTCTGTGTGCTGCACACAGCCGAGCGTTGACGTGGAGATCGAACATTGTTCCGGGCTTTCAGCGTGCTTACTTTGAAACGAATTCGTCCCGGCGGTGCAAGCCATCTCGAACGATTCAGCCATGACAAAGTGATCGCGATGACGTTCTCGTAACCTCACGTGTCGGCTTGTCTTTGGCCGTGTACAGACGGGAAATGCATTTGAAGGAAGCGGCCCCAAGTTCGCTTGACCGACCGCCAACCGCATCTCGGGGTGGATGGATCCATGGGTGGTGTACAAGTTTCTATTGAAGGACAGTGGTCGGTCCGCCCAGAACTTCCGCACTACTGGGGATGCCTCCTCTCATTCATTGGCAACCACAGTCTTTGGGCGGCCCACGAAAATGTTCGTTCCAAAACCAGACTCGAACGACTCGACATGGAACCCGCGGACGGCGTCGATGCTGTGCACGCCATCTTTCCAATCCCACGCGAACACGCTGCCGTCATCTTGAAAAGAGAGTATCACTACCCAATATCTCATCGTGTGTGCTGCGTACCGAGAAGAATTGACGAGTCTTGAACACCCTTGCCTAGCCGCACGATGCGCTTGGGGTCCAGCACACCCGCCACATCGACCGCAACGGGACTCACGTGTACCTCCGGATTCGTGCGCACGGCCTTGTCTCCAGGCAAGTGGACCGCCTGGCTTCGGCCCAGTACCCACACCCTGCCGTCCTCTACGTCGAGTGAGTAAAGCTTCGGCCTAGACACCACTAGCTATAATGTCTAGCTGGCATACCAGTCAAGATGAGGGTGTGGAAGTGACTGCTCTTGGCGGCGACCACCGGCGCCGACGTGCGGACAAGGCGCGGTGTGATTTGATCCTCGCCGTTCTTGCGGCCGTGCTGGTCAGCACCCATGAGCTTGCCCCACACATAAAGCTCGCCGTCGACTAGCGCGAAACACAAGAATGGTAAGCTTCCAGAGAGGCGGAACACAGCAGTAGAAAAGCAGCAGCATTGCCAAGAGCAAGGCCACATGAAGTTCCCCAGACGACGCATGGCGGCGCTGTTTCTCATGATGTGTTTTACCTGTGACAGCCAGGGACGTGTTAAAGCTTGCGTCTACATACCGCACCTGCTTGTCCCGAAGTGCCACGAGCTGTTGCGGCGCACTCAAGTTGACCGTGCCACTACAAGCACACCCGTCATACCTTGAAAAGGTAGAACATACATACTAGCCCAATTGCCCTCGCTCGCCCTTGCCCCACGAATACACCTGGCCTTCCGTTGTTAGCGCCAACACGTGCTGGTACCCTGCAGCGACTTGCTGGACGGGCGGCAACTTGACGACCTCGGCCTCCCAAACACTTGCGTTTTCGTGGCCGACGCCGCATTGGCCGTAGTAGTTGCCACCGTTGGCGTACAACGACCCCGACTCGGTGCGAAACAGCGACAGCGTCGTCCCGCATGCGACCTCGACGACTTTCTCGGGAAGAGTGACCTCGACTGGCGTGAACGCTTCCACGGAGCGGTGTCCGCCCACCTTGTTGGCAAAGTCCAGAAACCAAGGGGCAAATCGATGCATGTTGATTGCGCGGATCACGTTCTTGAAGTGGTGCGTCCGACCAAACACATACGCCTTTCCGTGTGCATCCACCACGCCTGTGTGCGACCTAATAACCGAGCAACCGATCAGGTTGTGTCGATAAGGTTATGCAGTTACCAGCCCGTCGACGCCTGGACGAGGTCCAAGCCGTCAAATGCGTCCAACGCTTTGGGTGCTTCGACCGACGAATAGTTCCCGTGACCCAACGTGCCCAGGTAGCCTTCACCATACGAGTACAAGGAGTTCTTGATTGGCGCACTTTTCGTGCCTAGGTGATGTACCATGAGAAACTCGGCGGATGCTTGATCTCGGCCACGTACTCATGCAGGCGGCGCGAAGAATGGACGGCCGCCATCGCGCCATTGCCCGATGTGCCATCATGTTGAAATGTCATTTTTGACCAATCAAAATGGATTCTTGCATATTTTCCTGAAGTGCGACATTGCCCCTTTTAAGTACGAAGCACCGATAAAGTTTTCAATTTGAATTTGAACTTGATCACTGTGATTTGGGTTTTGGCAGGGTCTTCGCGCCATCCCACCATCGAATGATCTGAATCGCGTTGTGTCGATGTCATATCTCGTTCTTGTTCCCAAGAGCGTGCGTTTCGGTGTGTACATGACATTCGAAACGACGCTTCTTGTCTACTGCAAGATGCCCAAACAGGTGGCTCCAACAGAAGGGCGAAGTGGAAAATGACTCTAGTTACAATAAAGACGTTGCCTCTGATAGATGACTTTTCCAGACTATCGCAGCTTCATTCGACCTGAAGTACCATGGTCCAGCAACTGCATCATGCTCGCCTCCGTGTGCGAAATCGATTGAACTCACCGACCACGTCCATTCATAACGGTCTGCTCGCAGCCGAAGTGGGCATCCTCCACAACGAAGCCTCATCTTCGTCGTGCAGTCTCCATTCCGCGCTGACACTGTGCAGAACTCTCGTTGCCCGCGATTACACTGGGGACGAAATGCAGTAGCATATGACTGGTCAACATCTCGCTGCGAGTCAATACAAATTTCAAATGATATCCAGTGGCATGTATGCTGCGCTCAGAGTGAAGGATCAGAGTGTCGATCGAATGGGTCCAAGGTCTTGTAACAAGATCGAAGACGGTTCGTTGGCACTATGGAAATGACTGGTCCCAAAGGAACTTTGAGCGCATCCAGTCCATCCACAGCTGTGATGGACAAACGGAACATGCGCCGTGGGCCACTGGGGTCGCGCCAGAGTCTTGGTACTTTTTCATAAACTGATCCACCAACTGTAGCTTTGACCGCCGCGTATCCGTGCATGCCATCGTCATTTGACCACGGACCAAAAGAGGCCAATGCGGCGAAAACCTCAACATCTTGTCCCTCTAGAACACAACGCCCCTCCCCCCGGGCGAGAACGAACCAAACGGGAACGTGGGACCTGCCGTTGTGTGTTTGGGATTTAAGTCTACGGTATCGTGTAGACCAACATTCTGCTCGCGTCAACATCGAGCCATACATTTCACACCACGCCGAAGAGGAATGTATGTGGTGACCGGGAATGTGTGCTCCGAATGCTGGTCGTAACAGGACCAGCAGCGAGCGACACAGGTGCGGCTCATAGCCCCGACCCATGACAAGCACGCCCTCGACGCTTGCGATCGACGCACAACTGGCGCAACGCCGAGCGTATTTTCGCGACAAACAGAGGCTGCATCGCCGCAAGGACAAGGAACGGATCGCGGCCTTGCGCGACGAGTGCCAAACGCTGCAACTCCTAGCTCGATTCCTACAAGCCAAACATCACAGACCGCCCACGCCGTGCGAGGACGAGCATCAAGGTGGCATGTCGCTGTCGTGGCAGGTCATCGCGACCACATTTCGTCAAGAGTCGCAAAGAGGACAACGGGACAACAAGGACTTGATCGCACAAACAAATAGCTACCGCCGATGCATCGACTTGATGGACACTGTCCGTGATGCCTACCACGTTCTACCCGTGCGTACAGAACCAATCCCACTCGGCGCTACCCCCACCGTTCACACAAATCCTCGCGAGTAGATGGCGACGGCGTCGTGGAGTCGATTGTTCCGGCATGCCATTCTCCCGTCGGATCCGCACGCGCGGCGGGTCGCAAAGGAGTGGCTGACGCTGCACATGTACCACAACACGGACCGCGTGTTGAGCCAAGTCCAGTCTCGACCATCTTGCGACTTGTTTTTGGACTTTGACGTCGAGTACACTGGTCCGCACATCATCTTCATCGAGCACTCGCACGAGCTGCTGTCGTTTCCGATGGCCCACGTCGTCCACGTCCTCCGCCACAACCTCAACTGTTTATGGCATTTTGATGCGAGCCAGGTCGGCGCCTGGTCCCCGTGTGGCCCGCTTGAGTTGGTTGTGTTAGGTCATGATCGAGTCTGCGAGCAACACGCAGTACTATCGGTACCGCCACCCGAGAGACGCCACGTGGAATCTCCTGCAAGCGTACTTTCACGAAGCGGATCGGTGCGTGATCGTGTTCCGACGCATTCAGGAAGACGCGGACGAGCCCGAGTTGAAGCGTCGGCAGAAGCACGTAATGGAATGGTACGTTTCCCACGCCGTTGCTTTTGACGACGAACGGGTGGCTGCAGGCTCGACATCCGACGAGTGACGGCGACGACCACCACCGTCCGCACGCTGCTGGTTACGTCGCAGGCTCGCACGAACGACAGGTTCTTGACGGTGGACGAAGTCGCGGCCGAGTGCGGCGTCGAAATGGCTGGTGTTTCGGACGATCGTGCCAAGAAGGACATACTGAAGGCGTTTGTGGTGACGAAAGCCCGAGACTTTGCCGCCACGTACAACGAGCGACTGGTGGACGAGCTGTTGTGCATGCTGAGCCCCGATCCGCGCAGCAGCACGAACACTAGTCTTGTGGATGTGGCAAATTAGGTGTGATTGACCAACTGGAATGGTGTTACGAGAGATGGAGTAGTCCCTAGGCGAAGGTGCTGAACGGTCCTTCGGCATGCCACCAAGTGCTGCGTTTGGCTATTGCAGTGAACGTCGATGGATAACAAAATTGTTGAAAGTGGTTGGTGTGAGCGCATACCGGCGAGTGGCCTTGAACTTGCAAGGTCGCATTCTTCAAGATTGTGTGGTCAAGTTGTCGTCGGCTTATTTTCGTGTTCCTTTGGTGCACCACACCTACGGACGCCTGAAGGTCTTGCACAGCATGTAGGTGGCTGTTCTGCGTCGCACGTCTCTGTGATTGAGGGTCGGTTCACACCAGCGAGTTGTCAGGGGAAACTAGACATTCTAGTATGGGGAACCGGCGGGTGGTTAGAACGAGGGAGTTTTCACTGGTGGCGGAGGCCAGCCGTGCAATAGGAATAAAAGTCAGTTTACGATTGAATGCGGCCTCCGGACCAAGAGGTTCCCGCGAGCGACAAGGCGGGAGATACGACACTGGGTCATCTCCATATTCCACGCATCTATTCGTGCTCACTGACCCAGCACGATATCGAATTCCCTACGTACAATACTTTGCCGAGATGCCAACGAGCGCACTGGATACCCTTGTTCGCAGGGATGTCCACTTGCATCCCACAGCGCCGTTCACGGAAAAAGGGAGGACCGTCGAGAATGGAATCGGATAGTATGTAGCAACGACGGGTCGAGGAGGACGAGGTGGGGCCATGTGTAGAATGCAAGTGCAGGCCGCTTTCGTTCGCACAGCCGAGCCACACTACCATGGCGATGGTCGACATAGCCGGCTCCAGACTCTTTGCATTGGACGGGAAACGGCGACGACTCCAGTCTCTCGCTCCAACGTCACGATCCTTGACCAAGTTAGCGGCCGAATTCGGCGTCGACTTGATGCCACCAACTTTAGGTCGTCGACGGTGACGGCGTGACCCAAAATCCTTCCACTTGCATTGGTTGACGGTGGCGTGAAGGCACGTCGAGTCGGTTCTCCCTCGGCTGGAGTGGTAGACCGGGCTGCGCCATGACCCAACTGTAGCTGTCGACACAGTCGAAAGCGGCAGGACGTTGTGTTTTCTTTAACTTTTGAGGTCGATGCCACCAGGATCATGAACACAGCCTTGTCGACACACACAATGCCAGCCACGCGACAGCGTCGGCAGCAAAGTCCATTGCCCCGACGACAGGGGAAACGAGCCATCCACTTGACTTGGTTCTATGTAAACGACCTCCAACGCCACGCAGCACCTTGGTGTACTATATCTGCGTCCACCATCGTCCTGCCAATGGGCGAGGACACACTCGCTAGCGTGTACGAATCGCGCGGCACAGTGTGGAAATCTTGTGCGTTCTAGGCACGAAGCTACGACGCGAGTCCTTCGCGAGGCTCTTCCGCATCCAACGTCGTTGAATCGACGGTCGATGCAAACATCACCAGGTCGAGTTTGCGCGCCGTCGGAGCCGTCAACCGGTCGCCAGATATATTGCGCTGAATCAGCCCCAGTGGCGGTCGCTTGACGTCCATCCATTTTCACACGAAGAAAGCACACCGACGGGTACACGAAGAAAGCACACCGACGGGTACAACATGTCCCCGTCCGTTCATGATGGCTGCGACGTTAACGCTAGAGTGCCTGGACTGCCCCGTCGTTGCCACAGTCATCATCGTCGGGTGGAAGCACGAGAACATCGGACCCCACAATGGATGCGCGGGACTTGCGACGTTGCCGGAGCGGCGCTGCTTCGTCGACGGCCTCGTCGAGCTCCGAAAAGTACGACCCGAGCATCGTGCAGAGCGCTGTCGCGACCGACGAGGCAGTGAGGGACGTGACCCAAAACGTGTACCCCCACCGCTGGATACAACTCCCCATGACGACTCCCGCCAGCCCCGTCGAGATGTACCTACGCACGTCATGGCACCACGATTTCGTCAGCACAACATGCAGAGCTACGCGAGCGATGGGCGTACCCCACGGCCGTGAAGAGCCCAACGGCGCTCGCTGAAATATTTGCGGGAAGGTCGGCCGGCACGGTGTAACTTAGGAGCGTGTAGTTGCCGAGGACAAAAACGCTGACGAAAAAGACTAGAAGGCCGAGAAACGGCGTCGAAATTGACGGCGCCAGTGTGTACATGAACAGGAACGCTCCTGCTTGAAACGTCGAGAAGAGAACGATGGGCGGCATCCGATTCGACTCGAACATGATGTCGCTGATGTAGCCGCAGAGGAGACCCCCCACGAACCCACCCACAGTCCAGGCGCCACCAAGGATCGCGTGGTCGTCTTCCGTGAGCGGGACGGCGCGCACCGAGTCGAAGAACGAGTACATCCAGTTGAGCAAACCATCGCGGGCCCAGCTCAGACAAAACACCGCCGCGAGGTACCCGAGCAGCGTGCGGTTGTGCAAAAGCGCCCAGATCGAGGGCTGCTGCCTCGCCGGAGCGCTCGTCCCTTCCGCACCTTTGAGTATCGACGGCACGTTTGCCGTCGGCGGCGGCGTGTTGGCCACACATGTCACGACCACGGCACTCATGATGAGGAGCAGCGTCGCTGGAATGAAAAACAAGTACGACCATCCGAGCGACGATATAATCGAGTGGCCCGACCCGAGGGCGAGGTAGTACCCACTCGCGACGAAGATGTTGAACACGCCTTCGGTGGCATACCGTTAGTCGCTGATCGTATTTCCCACTGCGCTCTCTGGTATAGCAGAGAGGGTCGACCACGTCGTCCCGTACCTGAAAAGATCCCTCGTTCGCTCGGCGAGTACCACATCGCGTTGATTTTGACGACGGCGCTCGTGCCATATCCCTGAAGCGCCACGTTGGATGCAAAGAGCACCATGAACGGCACTTGCGACGACGTGCTTGTCACGAACAGGCAGCCCAAGATCAAATTGCACAAGCCAGCCCCCACGCAAGCGACGAGCATGCCGTTGTGCCCGCCCATGCGATCGGTCCATTGCCCTGCCGACATTGTGTCAGCGCCAGTTGTTCACCCATCACGATGAACCTGTCCACGGCGCTGTCAACGCATACGCCCACGACCCCGACGAAATGATCCTAGGCACATTCGGTGGCATCGAATCGGTGGATCGTGTGCGCACCAGCCCATGTCCGTGGCCGTCATGTTGAGTTGCAATCGCACACTCGGGATGTTGCCCGCGGCTATCTACACTCGGGTCGCATGGGCTCACGCATCACATCGCCAGTCCGCGTACGTTGTATCGAGCCATATAGAATGCTGCGTACGCAATGCCGAGCGGCAGCCAGTTGGCCATGCGTCGCCATCTACCGAGCGCGGTCGGCATCGTGGACGACTCGATTCGGACGTACCGAAAGCCCCGAGGGTGGAGTCGTTTGCTTGCTTGCGTGAGCTCGACATCAAAGAGAATGCCGCCCACGACAAACACGGCGATCGCGGCAGACACGACCGTCTCGACCGTCATCTTGATTTGTTCCTTTCAACTATGGCGCATCCAGCGATGCACCCGACCCCAACAGATAGAATCCAGACTCGTTGCACCAAGGAAACGATACCTGGGTCACGGCCACATGGTCCAACGAGGCTGGATTATACTATCGAGGGCTCGACTCCAAGGACCACGTCCATGGTACGTGGCACCACGACGCGTCTGTGCCGTTCCGCTGCTTTATACGTTGTGCTGCGACCAAGCCCAGTCCTCGAATGCTGCTTTGGATGGCCGGATTCTGCTGCGGCAAGTGGCTCGGAATGGACTCTGCCCAGGATCGAAGCAACGACGGTTGACACCCCGATGCTACAGAGGGAAACTCCTCCGACGTCACATGGCCATGTCACGAATTCATATGGGTGGCCACCATACAAACCGCAAGTTGTTTTGGATGGCGGCGTGGTCCTACAAGTGCACTCGTTGAGTCGACGCCGTGAGCCGTGTCCATGGCCCGGCGGTGTAATGATGCCGCATCATGACTCGTCAACAACAATGCCGTTTGAGTTGCCGCGTCCGGCAAGGACGTTCCATGGTCGACTCGTCAACACTTGTGATGCGGCCACCGCGCGCGAGTGAACTCATGGTCGAAGATTCTCCTGCTAACGTTTGGCTGGGAGGCGGTACAGCGTCCTGGTTTGTACAGACGGTGGTACCTTCTCGATCGGCGCGCACACACACATAGTCCAGTCTGCTGCTCTCTGAATGGAATGCAAGCGTGCTCGATATCGCCATGCCGAGGTTCGCCCTCTTGTCATGTTTGGTGGGCTCGGCCTGCTCATAGCACCCAGGAGAGGCCAACTTGGGTGTCGTCCCGCACTAACTTTTGGCACCGCAAGACCAGTGTATGAGCTTGCAATGCCTCCCACGGCCACAGATCGGTCCATGAACAAGGCCACATGCGCTCTGGCTGTGTTCACTCCGCAGCAGCCGCGGCCGCCATCTCCTCCCCCGACAATCGGCGCATGCTGCGTTGCGACCCAATTCCTCCGAATGGATGTGTGGGACAGGGGTTGTCGCCGCACACATGCATCACCTTCGCATACAAATTTCAAGTACAATTGCCCGGGGAGCGTGGTCCTCTACGATGTCATGGGGCTTTTTCCACAAAATGGCTCGACTATTGTCTTTTCTATGCGAGTAGGGTGGTAGGACAAGATGAAGTGAAGGACATGTTGCATTTGGTCGTCGTACATGGATAAAGTTCTGGAGAAAGAGTACGATGCAACAACAGCTCGGACATTCGTGGAGAAGGTGGCAATGGCGGCGATGTTGGCTACGCGGGGCAGCGCGCTGCTTGTGCATCGTAACTCGCACCTGGAGGACGAAGACATGGCGCTCATAGACGAAGTCATGTCGGAGAGGCTCATCCAACTTCGACGCGCATCGTCGTCCGTGTCGTCGCCCAGATCAGAGAGCGTAGACCACGCCGGCTGGTCTTGGTCCGCCACGGCCTCGTCATGTCCGACGACTTCTTTCGACGAGGCCTCTGAGCGTGTGAACGACGACTGCGGCGAACTATTATCGAGTCAAAGCACGGTGGATGACGTGGAGGCCAAGGCGAACTCGCGGTCGCACTTGACGCATCCAACCTTGAGCATGCTGGACAGCTCCGACAGCTTCACCAGCCTGGACGACTCCAATGTGTCCACAACTTGCAACACGGCACCGCAACAGAGCACGGAAATCCTATACACGACCGCCATCGCGGAAGTCGACGAAGGGAGCAGCGTCGACGGCCGACGATCTTCGCTGTCGACAACCAAGTTTGTCGTGCGCAAAGGGTGGATTGAAAAGTGCGGCCAGCGATTCAAGACGTGGAAGTGGCGGTACTTTGAGCTGACGCGCGACGGGTGCCTCCGCTATTACACAGCCGAGGACAAGACCGTGTGCAAGGGCACGATCCACGTAGCCAAGACGACCAAGAACGACATTGTGATCCAAACCCACGTGAGCTCGCGCGAGTTCTTCTTCATCCTGTCGACGCCACACCGAAACTACCTCCTCTCGACCGCCACGGAGCGCGCCATGACGCGTTGGATCCGTGCGCTTGAAAGCATCGGTGCGTGGAGCAAACGCACCGGAGCGACCATCCAAAACGTGTGTGTGGCTTGTAGGTGCCCAAGCCGGACCTGGTCGGTGGGACCCCCTCCGCAACACGGTCCATCTTACTGTCGACGACAACCATCAACCTCACAAATGGCGCGGCTACGATGATCCGCACGACGCGAAGACCATGCCCATGGCCGGTGTCTTGCTCAAGCGCGGCCACGTGCGGACAAATTGGGTCCAGCGGTACTTCAAGCTCGAAAAGCTCGACCACCACCCCGTTCTTCGGTGGGTTGACCGCCGCGCTGTCTAGCACTTGTGAAGTCAACGGTTCTGTCGTTCTATAGGTACTACTCGGACGGCGATGGTCGAGCCACCCCCAAAGGCGCCATCTCGCTGGTCAATGCGTCCGTGAGCGCGGGCGTCCCGTTCTGCTGCGACGGTCGACGCAACTACTTTGTCGTGCTCAGCGGCTCGCTTGACCTCCACTTGAACGCGCTCACGGAGCGGGACATGCGGCGGTGGATTCATGCCCTGCGCAAAGCAATCGAGCACAGGCCGATGACCCCCCCACGGCCCATGCATGTCGTCGCCACCCACGCCACGGTCGTGGCCAGCCACCTTCCCCACATACATTTCACGTTTGCCTCGAAAGCCGAGTTTGAAACGTTGCAGCTGGAAAGCCGAGGCGATGCGCTCGTTGTGTCGAGCACGTCCGCCGCCGCGCCGTCCGTGCCCCTCGGCGCACAGCTGATTCGCGTGCAGGGGGTATCCCTAGGGCTCACGATCGACGCCGCTCGGCTGCAGCTAGCCCGGGCAACGTACCCTCTCCAATGCGAATTCATTTGTGCTCCTGCCAAGCGCGGAGAAATGATCAAACGGTCGAGGTCGTCGCGAACACTCACGTCGTGGAAGACTCGCGAGATCGTCGTCGAGCATGGTTGTCTCACGTATATCGCGTGGCACGAAGTCCGTGGGTCGTTTTCGCTGGCGGGGTGCTACCTGCAACTCCCAGACGTGCCGAACCGCCCGCACTGCATCCTCGTCGGCCGGTCTCCCACAGATAAACTCGTGCTTCAAGCGTCGTCCGACGACGAGCGAATCTCGTGGGCGGCAACGTTGCATTGCAGCATCCTCATGGCGAGCCACGGACTCAGCGTCGCGGGACTCGCCTCGAACGACCCTTTCTTTGTCTAAATTATCAAGAGTCTTGGAATGTATTCCATCTTATCGTCGGTGCTGTTCTTTGGCGGGCTGTCGCCGCGTCGGTGCCTTGAAGCCTCAGGACGATGAGTCGGTCATCCATGGAAATGCATGGAGCTGCGTGAGCATCCCACGACATGCAAATGAGCCGTGTCGAAGTGCCAAATGCGCCTCATGCCCACGGAGGCAGGCTTGCCGTGCTTGCCGACGTTGTCCAGTTCGGAAGTTTGCCTCGATTGGGGTGTTGCTCGAATAAGATTTTTTGAGATACACACGAAGCAACGTTCCATTTTTCCCATACAATTACCCATAGAAAACGACTGTTTGCATGCTTTTGTAGCAAAACAGGTTTCTTCGTCATATTTTGCTGCCAAAAAATTCACTGGATTTTGGATATTTTCACAATATCCGACAGCCGCCTTGATTTCACAACCAAGTGGCAAGTGGGAGAGAGTTAGCGAGCACGATCGACGTGCTTCCGTGCCGCCGTCATGTTCAAGTTCCTCAAGAAGAACAAGGGACTCGAGCACGGTCCGTCGGAGGCTGAATTGTTGGAGCATGTGAACGAAGCATGCAGTCATCGCCCGGTCGCAACGTTTGACGTCTTGTGCTCTTCGGAGTCGGAGCTCCAGATCACAGTCGAACGCCGAGGTCCGGTCACCTCCAGCGCGTATGCATGGATGGTGACCAAGAGCGACCAGCAAGAAATACCTGTGGGGTGTCAAATTGCCCTCGTGAATGGTGTTCCTGTGCCAGACTCGTCGACGACAACGTCCTTCTTCTCACTCGACTGTTTCGTGGGCTGGCCATGTCGGCTGACGTTTGTTTTGCCGCCGTACAAGAAGGGCCCAGTGCAGAAAAAGTCCAAGATTGGCTTAGAGAAGTGGAACGACAGGATCCTGGAAGTGCGAGGCGGACGGCTGCGGTACTGGGACGTGTCCGAGCCAGGTCGCCAAAGAGGCAACTTTGACATGCAGCGCGCCAAGCTCAGCTGGACTAGCGCAAAGGACCGACCATTCTGCTTAGCTCTGTCGTTCTCGGACGAGTTGGTCGTGGTGTCGTTCATGAGCGAGCTCGAGCGGTTTGAGTGGGCTGTGGCATTGTCGGCGGCGATTCAGATGGCGATGTCGGGGCTGTCGGCGTCGCACAAGGACCAAGTACAAGTATCGGCCGACACGGCAAGCAGCCGGGGGGATGTGTCTGCCCTGGGGGATCGGTTTACAACGGAAATTCCGTTTTAATAAAGTGAAGTCTCGATGGATGTTGTTGCTGTGATGGCCACTGCTCTTATGCTTTAAATGCTTCGTTCAAAACACACACGACGCCCTTGGCGTGGTAGTGGGAGGCTGCTCGCGGTGGAATCGGAACGTATATCGTGGTCACGTGCGTCGATTCGATGGGCGAGGTCCAGGATGCTGCAGGAGCGTGGGTGAAGTAGTACGTGTACACTGGGCATGAAAACACGTCAAGGTCGGTGATGTCGCCCCTTACCCAAGCAAAGAGCCTACTCGAACATCGTGATGCGTCGACAACACATGGAGCCATGCGAACGCTGACGTACTCGAGTGGACTGCTACGTTGAATCAACCCACTCGTGCCATCGCTGCCTTCCCCCGACAAGAGGCTGAGTTGATGGCCATCCCATTGAGCATTCTAAAGTCGAGCAAACGTTTCATTGCAACAAAAGCGGCCTTCACATCGAGTACGTACGCGAAAAAAGAGGTGGCCGACAAGGAGGCTACGATATTGCTCTGGTCGCTCGTGTGACGAAGGTGGTCGGAGCGCGGCGAGGCACAACTCGCTGACAGGTACGTTGTGGGCAACAGCGTATTGTTCCAGCACTGCAATGAGCAGAGCTACAGAAATGGTCAAACCCATCCAGAACGAAGGGGGGCGTTTCGTGCCTTGAGGGTTCTCGAAGGCTTGCAAACGAAGCAGTGGAAGGCGCAAGGACCAAAGCCATTCCTGATACATGCTGACTGTCGCTTGGACCCACGAAATCCAATCTCGCAGGCGAAGGGGGGCTGCGTATTTTGACAGCATCCACTCGGCGACAAATCCGCGATGGAGCATGCCATCGGCAGTCGAGGATGCCGCGCGCAAGTGGAACCAGACCCGGTTCAAGTACTTTTCCATACCCAGCATCTCGAGCCAAAGCACTTCTTCAACTGTATCGGACGATGCATGCCATGCTTTTCGAGCTGCATGCTGAAATACCGTGGGTTTGGGCAGTTGAAACTTGCGTCGATACATTAGGGTGTTTTCCGTCAGGTTGAGCTTACCATGAGAACGTCGACGACAGTGGCGGTCGGAATCGCTGTCATCGGGCGTTGGCTGGCCTACAAGAAACGAGTGTTGCTATGTTACCAGCATGAAAGCGAACATACCAGCGCGGTCAAATGGCTCAAGGTTGTCTCGGCCATTTCCCAGTCAAAGTACCCGTGGATGGATTGCGGTAGTCCCAAAGCTGTGGCGCTCAACCACGTAGTTGGAGGCGGCAGCATCTCTGACAGAGATCGCCGAGAAGCATTGGCGTTCGTGTCCTTGGGGGGAAGAGCAAGGTTCGTGCGGAATTCGGTGAGAGTGGCAACCGTGAGTAGTAACGACTGCTGCCACTGCGGCGATAAAGCAGTGTCCTCAGTGGTGGAAGAGTGACTGGTTACAACTTCCAGGCACCATCGATACAGCACATCGTACTGGGTGCACAGCGTCGCGTCGGCCGTTTTGCACTTGTAGAGTGCTACGAGGACCGTCGCAACTTGGGCAGGAGTCCACTCTTCGGCGTGAATTCCGGACGCGATTTCCTTCTCGTCGCACAACGTTCGAAGCAAAAAGTCGGCTTGCTCCACTTCATACATGCTGTACGGCATCGATGCCGCCGCAGGACTGCCCGCGTGCAATCCATTTACAACCAACGAATGGAATAGCAAAATGCCGGGCATGTACTTGGTGTGGAGCGTTCCTTTGGCGTGGTGAATGCCATGCGGCATCATACTTGCCGTGTTGAAGAAGTACGTTTTGACATTGCACGTTGGAAACATCGACTCGGCGTCATCGTGAATCAACCAAAGCCGGAAGTCAGCGTTCACCGCGAGATCACCATACGCAATGGCTTCGAATTGTCGTGTGAGCTCGGCTTTCTCCGACGGTTTGATGTGGCGCAAGTCCTGGCACATGGTAAGCCACAAACCCAGTTTTATGTAGTACCTGTAAAATAACCCATCCACCATGGAACGCAGCCTCCTTGATTGTTTTCAGTGCGGACGACACGGCATCGGGTGATGCCAAGGAAAAGTACATAACTTCGTCTTCTCGAATGCCAATGCTCTGAGCGGACTACCACCCAACGAGTACGACCAACGAATCGGAACTTGAAAAATTCATCAGGACCTACCTCCACGAGACTCCACAATGGATGCACAATCAGGTCTGCATTGTATCGTAGAGCGATGGGACGGTGAGCGTCCGTTTGTCCTGCAATGTTGACGATCGACGTGGACGGAAACTGCGCGCCAGGAATGACAGCCATGACCAAGTCGTGGAGCATGGTTTGAGTCTAGACATCCACCGATTTCACACACAGTGCGATCGTTGGATATTCATGGCTGCATTGATCGTACCATAAGGTCGTGGGAGAGCGCGACCATGGCAAACTTGACGAGAACGGGCAAAAGGGACACAATAGCCGTCGATGGAAGGTCATGCACGGAATTTGGCGACGACTTCGCAAAGGTTTCGTACAACCCAGGAAAGCTATCGACGTCGTCGACAACCGCAGCAAACGCTGTTGACTTCTGAAACAGAACATGCCACTTGGACAGCAGGTTAACAAGGATAGCGCTTCTCTTTTTGCCACCCCGTGTTATGTATACACGTGCTGATCCGTCAAGAATCTTGGCCATTTGAAGCTAAGGCAGAAATATGAAGCATAGGATGAGTTCCCGAATTCTTACTGCTTGGATGGTTCCAGCTCTCTTGCTCATGATACGATCGACGCAAGCCCGGATAGCCGACGCAATCACTCGAGATGCGACGGCATGGGTAATCGTCGGCGACGAACGATCGACCATGACATGAAGGCCAGGGTACGAAATATTGCGGAATACAGTGATTTGACCCTTGATAATTCCGACAACGTCGGGGTGATGAGCTTCACAAATTCCCAGTGCGACGTAGAAGCAAAAGCCCAGGTGCACTTCAGACGGTAAACTGTGGAGCGCTTCTTGGATAAATGCAGCGGTCACGTGAGTGCAAATTTGGCCAATAGGTTGAAGCACGACGTCCATCGGGAGTTTTGTGATGCTGTACTGTAGCATGGCGATACATTTGTGTGGTTTGTTGATGCCAAAGGTGCCGGCCGCATCCAACAACGTGAGACCACGGCGGCCAATTCTTGACGAAGCGAGTGAGCTCCACGAGAAACACGACGATCGGATCACGTACTCGAGGAACGGGCTGCGGCTCTGCTCTATTTGGGACAGCGCGTTTGTCTTTATCTCAATGTTGCCCAGGGACTGAGTCAATAAACTCATGCGAGTCACGAGAGACATCATGTCTTCTTCACACGTCAATAGGTTGGCTTGGGACAGTGCGATTTGCCTCAAGAGGTGATCGACATGGGTTTGTCGATGGTTCAAATCGTCCAGCAAGCGTTCGTTCAGGATACGGCATTCGTTCTACCCAGTTCGTGTTGAGCACGTTTCAATCGAATTGAGTGGGACGCGGACCTCTTGTGCAGCGGAAAAGTGCAAGTAGAATATGTGCCGAACGTATTCTTGCAGGTCGCTTGAGCTGAGTTCGAAGCTGATGATCTCAAATCGCTCGACTAACTGCGGACATGTTGATAATCATGATGTCGCCACGTCGAAAGTACCTCCATACTCCACGACTCGGAACAATCAAATTCAGACACAAAGTAGATGGGACGTTTCGAAGTGTGGTTGACCAGAACTTGCAAGAGGTCCCACATGACTGATTCATTGACTTGCCCAACGCGATCCACCAAAATCTACAGTTCATCGCCACAGGATAGGACAGAGGACATCGCTAAATGCTTTACACAATACCACAATGTTGGAATTCGGCAACGTCATTTCAAATCGTGACATGATCATCGGGTCGTCGGCAGATATGACTTCAAGTCCCATGCGCTCCATCGACTTGATCCACGCTGTTGCAATCCCCTATGATAACAATCAATACGCTGCATTTCGTGCTGTATCCTACCGCTGGGTCCCACAACAACGAGAACGTTTTGTATGGAGCAGAACGCCTCCAACGATTCAACTGGTTCAGGTTGATCAGAATTTGACTGTCGATCACAGAACAAGCTGCGCGCAATTCCTGGACGCCTTCGATCCCCAGCGTCGACTGCAGCATGTCCGGCGCCGTGTGAATTTTCGACGCGGTGCATAGGATCTTCCACGATTCCAACAGCGGCACTCGTTGACTGGGAATTACATTGCCCAAGTAAGAAGAGGTGGCCGTCAACACGAGACAGTCCCTATAACAAGATTAACAAAAGCAATCGATCGTACAGATTCAGTGGCAAACCCCATGATGGTTTCGTCAGCACTCTTCAAGTGGTGCAGTTGCTTCCGCAGTACTGGCTTGATGTTCTCAAACACAATACTGACGCGGTCGATAGCCACCGTCCGTTCGCGGAGATGGTGAAACTCAGTTTGTAATTCAACTTTTTTCGCCTCGTTGTCCTTCCACGCGGTGTGAAGCGCTTTTGTTTTGGCTTCGCAAACTCTCCAAGCTTCCGTAGCCGCCCGAACGGTGCACTCGAGCCTACTCTGCTCACCAGAAGCGTTTCAGATTGTGTTCAATGAGATGATTTGTGTAGCGCACCACATGATCATGAGCGGTCTCCAACTTGGCTTGCTTTGGCCGAACGTATGCCATTACAGTGTGGTATCGCACCATTGCGAGAACCCATCGACAGAGTGACGTCGACGCAATCGATGCGCGCTTCATTTCCTCCTCATTAAACTTGGGGTGTTGTATAAACTTGTCGAGTTTTCGCATGACGCTGGGTATCCCTCATGATTGTGCCCATGCAAAATTGATTCCACGCACCTATCTTGAATGTTGTCTTTGTCAAAAAACTTGAGTCGGTCCAAAAATTTCATATCACACAGCACGAACAACGCGTCGTCCCACGTTGGCGACGCGCCGTGACCCAGCAAAACGCACACCTACTCGAAAGCCAACATGATGACGGTCAATGTGTGTGTGTATGGCGTAGGATACCGCTTGCATGACGAGACGAACGAGGTCTGGCGGCGACGTGAACGATTTCATCTCCGTGATATGCAGCTTGTTGATTTTATTCAAAGACATGATCGCGGCTTGAATCTCAGGAACAGTTTGGTCGATTTCACATTGGAGATTGCGCTTTTCTTCGTCGATCGCGTTCTTCATCACTTGGTAAGCACGCTCTTCGTCTGCAAACGAGTCGTGCAGCTTCTGCTCGATCGCACGTTGCTTCTCATATCTAATAACGATGTCGACGAGTGAAGTCGTGGTCGAATTGGATGAGACAGCACCGCTGGTGGAGCTGCTCGGACTCGACGCCGATGACTTCAAGGGCCTTAGCCATCTTTCTTTCTTTCGCATTCAGTACGTCAATTTCTTTGATGAGTTTCTTCATGTTTTTCAGCCCTGGAACCGCAACACTAAGTCGTAGACTTTGCAAGTGTACAGCACTTGGTACCTGCCGAGTACTGTTGCTGGATTGCATCCAAGCGTTTGCGACATTGATGGTGCAACTTCTCAAACGAATTTATCCACACTTTAAACGCACGTGACGTATTGAGACGGGATAATCGTGACATGGTGACTTTCGCTGCAAGCACCGATTCGTGAATTCGCTGCATCAGGGGATGCAATAGCGGTGGGATTGCCGAGGTAGCAAGAATCGCTTTGAATGAGTCGAGGCTCCAAGCAGTGAAGTCGTGGCAACTGCATGAGTGCAACAGGGATGCATCTTCGTCGACGCACTCGTCCAAAACAGCATTGTCATTTCTATGCCCATATAACCTGAATTAGTGAATGACAGAGATCAAGACAACGAACCGCAGCGACAAGGCAATGTGGACATGCTTTTTCAAGTTGTCACGGTATTGGCTGTAGCACTGCGCTTTGCTGGGGTTCATATGCTGGAACGAAGGCAGTTTTTTTATTGCCTCCGAGATTAACTCCAGCTCGTGGGGCTCGTACATAACCCACGGAATGTCGCCGTCTCGAAGGACATGCATGATCAGCTGCCGGACATCACTCGAAAGCTCGTCGGCTGCCACGTAAATGATGTAGTTGGAAGCGTTCGTTCCGACTGCCAGAAGCGTCTCCTTGACCAACTTGACCGCGTGCGTATTTTGTCGTATTTCGACGTACTTGAACGAGAGAATACCACAAACCAGGATCACCGTAGTACGTTTGCCACATCCTCGAGGGCCTGTCGAGATTCTTGCTCATCACAAAGGATCGGTGCATTGGACGGACCTTTCATCAAGACGTGGGGTTTCATTTCAGAAAGGCCAATCAGGACGCGTAGGAAGGAATCGACAGCTGCTGGAAACGGCACTAGCTGCCTCACGATTGATTCATTGAATGACGGGTGGTGCCACTGAAATTTTTCGTCGCCTGGGGTCCAAGTGCCTTGTGATATCTGTTCAAGACATGGATATCGTACATACCAGTCACAAACAAATTGACGGCAGTTTGCTGGGATATGCTCGTGTAGCTTGTGCCGTTGCCGTTATTGGAAAAGCAATAGAGCGACAATTCGTCGTGGGTATCAAACTCCAGCGTTGACAGGATGGGGGACGTCAAGTATGGGTACACCCAATTGTCTTGATCCGAAAAGTTGGATTTCGCTCGAAAACAAATGGCCGTGAGATTGAGCATAACCCGTTCCAGCTTTGATTTCGACTCAAAGTTTGACTTTGCCGACCTCAACAAACACCCGTACACGTCCAGCACGTCACCAATGGTGAAAATAGCATGTCGTGACTGAAACGAGTGTGCCCACATAGCTTGAAGTACCAGCAGCGGAAATTGGAGGATCTTCCAACACGCATCCAATGACAGCGAAACAGGGAACCGTTCGAGGACACAAGTAGGCAGGGATTTGAACATCTGAAATATCGAGTCGGGGGAGAATTCTGGTATCCATATCTACCGCGAATTCGTCGTGGCATGTGACTTTGAGAGCACAGACAGGTCAACGGAGGTACCAAGTGGAAATGACGAAGTAGTCGAAGCGGCAATTCCATCACCGAGCTCGGATTGAGCGAGGCAAGAGCAACAAATACTAACGACACGAGCTCCAAGTGATCGAAAGACACGCGGTGATAAATTTCCTTGGCATCCACGACCTGGCGAAGTTGCTCTTGGCATTCCTATGAAGTCGCGTCAGCACGACAACTTAACCCAAACCTATAGATCAACCTTATTGCTCAAGTGCATGTCCTCCACATGAAATATGGCAGACTCTTTTCCCGTACAAGGTCCATAGAGCCCTTTCATCTTTCGTTCGAGGTCTAAAATGACTTGATCCTGCACTCAATTGTTCATTCAGCAATTGCTCACACTGCATAGGTCCCACCTGAAACGATACAGCACTGGTCTTCTTGCCGATTTTGATCACGCGTGTCATGTTACGGTCACTGAGGGTAATGAGTGCCCGGCGTGCTAAGGACGACTTGCCGACACCACTCGCCCCAACAAGTAATACATTTCGCTTGTCCATGGCGAAGTTGGACACCAAGTGCTCGACGCACACTGATGTCTGGTTAATCACAACAAGTTGTCAGAGTTTCTGTGGTTCAAGCAGGGACTGACCTCGTTGGCAATCAGAATATGGTGGTGGTTGGAAAGTGCGGACCAGTCCGCTTGGTGAACTCTTGAAGACCACGACGCCAATCCAATGCTGGTTCCTTCAGAGCGCCAAAAGACATCGTAAAACGTACGCCCATGCGTAAACAATTTGTGGCACTTCAGTTCTGGAGCAACCTTCATCAGCGCCTACACGGAGTTTGATCTACTTGAATAGTATGCCATGGTACGTCTAGACCTCATGGAACAGTGGCCTCGCAGAGCTTTTGACGACGACGCCAACTGTCCACGTGCACGCACAAAGGTACATTAAATTCGCATCGGCCTTCAAGGTGGGGGAGTTCGCGCTCAGCTTCTCCAGAAATTTATGCAATGTCGACACGAGCTTGTTCACCTACAGCCGTGCGCAAATTTTTACGAGAAATGGTCAAGCTTGACTGCGTGCCTTTGTTGGTGGAGAGAATCCAATGTTGGGATGGCTGTTGGATCGACTAACTTCAATCAAACTGGGGAGGTGCGAACGCATGAGCTGCGCCAACTGCTGCGCCACAGATAGGATTCGTTCGTCCAAGGGGGGGTTGGCTTTTTCGAGTCGCAAGATCCATGCTTTGATGAATACTGTGTACGGTAATCCATCCGCCGGCAGGTACATGATTCCAAATCGACTGAGCGCCGACGGCGACCAGTTTTCCAGAGCACTAGAGTATTCCTGATAAAACTGACGAACCATGATGATGGAAATGTTGCGTACCATGTCTCGAAGAAAATCTTGATGTGCCTTACGTCCAGTGACTCACCACTTGGTAAATGCACCGATGGTGTTTCATCCGTCATGGCGTACAACGGCTCAACGCAAGCATGGTTCATAATTCCATCAAAGATCAGCCACGGAATATATCCGTGTTGCTTTCTTGACGATTCGGACGCACGTTGGCGAATATAGCGCGTCAGAATCCCATCCACCCATTCATTTTGCTGAGCACAAAACTGTCGTAACGAAACAAGTAAACATAAGATCATCGAGACAAACAGTTGAATCGTACGTGGCCGTAATACTCCGCCGGACACAGCGTTTCGGTGGCAATGCGGAAGCACTTGACACGTTGTTCGCCTTCGGCGTACCGCCTCAGTCCGCTCAATAGTTCAATGGTCGTCGACTTGCCAGATGAGATGTCCCCTGCCATATATATTCCAATGTTAGTGAGCTCTGACCATCGAACGTGGGCTCGTTGCCACAACGAAATGTTACCTGTGACGACGTTTATGGCATACATGGAACACAAGTGGTGTAACTCGGCAACTTTTCTTGTGCTTATCGGTGTCGGGACGAGGCATCTCAACTCCATTTGCTCGTGAATGTGGGTCCTTGTTTTGCTCACGTCCAAGTCCACATATCGAAATGAAGGGAACTGCCGATGCAGGAGCGTCAAGAATGCGTTCTTTCGCTCTGGGGAAATGCGAGACCCAACTGAATTCCACACAGCATACGCGACCACTTGGTCTTCATCGCTACAACCAACCTTGTCAATTTCTTTGACCGAGTACCCCTTTGACGTACCGAAACAACTCCAAGTATCTTGCTGCCAGGTCCACGATTTTTCGTACAATGCGAACGCATTGAAATTCGCCAGGGCACGGACAATACGTCGTCCCGAGAAGCAACAAGAACGAATGCAGTGACTTGGTCAAGTTTTCCACGTCACGAAATCCGTGACACGTCAAGTACAAACCAATTAAGACCGACACATCCGGGAGCGAAAACTTGCACGCGAACGTGACAAAGGCAGAGGCACACGTTCGCACCATCAAGGTTGTGCGCACTTCGGAATACGTCGTCAGTTTGCAAAAGACACCATAGTTGTGGTTGGCGAGGGAGACGAGCGCACTGTCGAGAAGAATTTTTTCCTTGTGTGTCTTGAGAGCATGCTGTAGTCGCTTGATTTGATGAACGAATAGCCCAAAAACGTCAGATTCCACTTGCTCCAGCCCGATCTAAGGCATGCATTTGTTTATCGTTGAATAGTACACACTGAGGTTTCGCGCACCATAGACACATAGGCTTGACACTGGACGATTCCCCCCAAGATACGACCCAATTGCTGCATCGAAAATTGAATCGAGCAGTCATACACGACACACTGGGCGCCGATGTAGTTCACCAACTCGCGAATAGTTGATTGCTTGCTGACGCCAGTATCTCCATAAATGAGCGATCCTGAATATAACCGAAAGGCCATGCTCATGCTCCACATCATCCGCTCGGTTAGGGGCGTCATCGCCATCACCGAATGCGGTCCTAAGTACTCGTATCTGTCGCATGTTAATCAAGCAGCGGTTCAGTTGAGTCATAGTTGCTACTATACCCATAGTCAAACGTTTTGATGCCGTGGGATACGATGCAGGTTTGCGAGTCTCCCTTCCACTCGAATTGTAACTGCAGGCTCCAGTCAAAGCTCGTTTGCTTGCTGTTCTTGAGCCTGCCAGGATTATCATGCAACTCTCCATCAATAGAATCCCCATCGCACCGGTCCAGCATGTTCAAGTTGTTCAAGAAGCACATGGTCAGTGCTGTGATGCCATGGAGTTGCTTGGGCGTTTTATGCATACGCAACGCCGTGATGCACTCTCGGGACTGCAATTTCGTTCGTCATATTGTTTTTAAATTCAATAGGGTTCGCGTACCCGTTTTTGAATTCGTTCCCACATGGCTTGCAGCGACATATCCAGCATGACCCACTGATTGCACTCGACGGTGAAAAACACTCGACATGCCAAGACGAGCAATTGAAGTGGCCAGTTTTCGATCATTTCGTGCAGCCAGTCGGTCGTCCGATAATCCTCTAAGCGACAATGAGAGAATACGAAGCAACGAGTCTGTCGTACGAGATTCGTCGTGAAGGTAGTACTGCAGCATGTCCGAGTACTCAGCCATCATGTGCCGGAGGCCATCCTTCATCGCACGCCGAAGAACTTTGGCTAATTCCTTCATCCATCCTTCTGGCCGTTGGGTAACTCGGACACTAGTTCCAAGCGATATCGTTTCGTCGTGCTTGCCGTGCACCGCAAAAACTTCTGTACAATATAGGGTGTCGCCATAGTTTGTGTGGTCGTCCTGGGTATAATACGATGAGCATTATGGAATGGAGAATACATTCATACAGGAGCTGCGATGGGATGAAAACGAGAGGGCGTTGGCTTGGTAGGAGTTTGCGGGGTCGTAGGTTTGGCCTGTGGAGAAGGCGACTTCTTGGCGGGGTTTTGAATTGTTTCTACTGAGATTCTGCACACTTGCTCAAAGCACTTGGACACGACAGCACTCAGCTGATTAGCGTTGTCTTCGCCTGGCTGGCTGAGGCTCAGTGTCGTGTCCGCCATGATCACAAGCAACTCGCGGTCAGATACAAAGTTGAAACGAGGGAACTCGCGACGCTTTTCGTGCAAAAAGAGAACAAGCTGCTTCCACAACCGTTCAAATAGGGCTTTTGCGTCACTGAGAAACGTGCCTAGGAACAGAAGTTGTTGATTTTCCGCGAATTCTGAGGTACACGTACGATTTGTAATTTCTCGAACGCAGTGCTGAATTGACGTAGTCGTTCGCACACCCTTCATCATTGCCTTCCATTTTCGCGAGAGAACTTGAAATTCCACATTCGCATGGCGCACACTTTGCTGAATGTCGGGCAACTGAAAGATGCGATCTAGTTTCAACCAATCGCTTTGAGCCGACACCCACAACTCGAGCGTGTCTTGGATGTAGTTGATTTCGTTGCTCCAAGACACCAAGGCTTGATACAGCAACGGCTGGGATGTGGTTTGCATCAGGCACTGGACTTGCACAAGGTCGTCATCCAAAGCAGCCAACAAGTCATCCACCACCACGGGATCGAGTTCCAGATCTACTCACGATCAACATTGACGTGTCAAACTGGATAAGTGTCGAAACGACGAACCTTGACAAATTAGTTCAGTGGCAGACCAACGAGCCTTCATTACTTCCAACTTGGCCTCGGTTTCCGAGTCAATTCGCGCATGGTAAGTGATGGTGCGTATCTTATCGGAATGCGACCACAAATCCAAGTCATGGAGCTGCTTCAAGGTGAAAGTTTGAATGCTCAAGTCACCACCGATGATCTTGCATGAAATTTCAATCAGTTCGTTGGTCAATATAAAGTCCCCGTACTTTGAAAATTTGTTCCCAGTGGAGTGGTTTGATGTACGGCGCGCCTAATTCGACGGCGAGGTCCAACTGCTTGAGGAACGCATGAAGTTCGGCTTGGATTGCAAAAAATATCTTGTTTTCAAACCGGCATTTGAGGCTCTCCGATCTATCCATTCGTCATATTGAGCCTCACATCGATCGCGCCGTACCGAACGAGAAAATCCTTTGTCGCGGCTTGATTTTCTGCCGTTCACGAGTCATTGCATCAGAGATTGTCCATTTGTTCAACATCATGACGATTTGGCATACTTAGCCAAGACTGAACAATAAACTTGTGAGCATGCATCATTGCGTGAGTCAAGCGCCACTGCTGACACAAAGTCCACACGTCATGCACTTCGAGCCAGAGGACCCGAGCACTCTCGAGTAAGATGATGGGTGTCACTTTAATTCCCTACAAGATTGAATCGATTGCCTTGCCATAGACACATTATGAAGAGGTCTACCATGATCTTTTGGTAGTCGTAGTATGTCACTGCTGCGTCGGCTATGCTGTCGAGTTCAGATTTAATTTCTAAATTTTACCAAGTAAATCCCTCGATGAAGTAGTATCATAGACAGACCATTGAGTGGGTTCAATCTGCTTTCAAAGTCCGCTTTGCCCGTGGCAAAGACCTGCGTGTTGCGCACCGTAGCGTTGGCTTCGAGGGCATTGAGAATGCGTTTGCACTGCGCCGTGAATTTCTGGAGGGCCTGGGCCACTTGCTGGCCGATCACAGGTAGCATCTTTTTGCTGAATTTGATATTTGCTTGGAAGCTCAGGTTGTATTTTGCTTGCAAAGCGTGTATGAGGTTGAATTGCCCAATGCAATCTGACGCTGCCGCAGGGCAATTTGTTCGAAGCGCTTTGTATGCTTCTTCCACCTGCAAGAATCCCCTCTTGATAGTCAAGCATGGTTCGTGCCGACATATCACCGTACCATTCGAATTTCTTGTAAGAGCTGCTTTTCGTTGTCAGAGAGCGTGCGGATGCATCGCCGTTGTTCGCAAAACGCCTCTGTCGTTTGCGGCCGTTCGTCCATGACTGTGATAGCGTCCTTCAATGATGTGACACACTGTAGAATTCCTTGTGTCGTCAAATCGGTCAGCAGTTGGTGGGCAACAATTCTTTGGTTGTTGATCCGTTCGAGCAGTTCACTAATAATATGTCGGCAATGTATCTCGAGAAATCCAATGTTCCAGCTCGCCTATGATGACGTGGTGACGGCAATAAATTTCTCAGGTCGATCGCGGACTTGAACGCACCTGAGTCTTATGGCACTGGTGCTGCCACGCGTCGAGGCGACCAATCTTTGTGTGAATAGACTTGAGCAAATTTGGGAGATTCACCATGTAATTTGACAAGTTGCCCATGGTGGGCAGCTCTTCCGAGGGGTCTTGAAGTGCTCCGTAGATCGGTCGCAGCATTTCAAATGATTTGACTTGGGTCGCAACTTTCGTAAAGGCAACTTTGATCGCCATGCGGATATTCTGGACTTTGGTATGAAAATTTGAGTCCAACTTGAGCAGATCCACAAGCCTCATGCCAGGCACAATGTGTCCATCTGGCACAGCATCCGAGATTTCGCGTGGAGTCAAGTACTCCACCAGTCGATATTCGCTCGAGTAGCTGTTGGAAAGCGCAATGAGCCGTGACAGCGCTTCCATTGAGTGATGCAGCATGTCTGCCTCCGACGGCTCTAGCACCATTCCATTCGCATCTTGGAGTAGAAACGACACAGCGACTGTGATGGAGCATCCTTGCGCTGCTGAAAACTGCATATGCAATCGGTTGATTGAAGCCAGCACCTACAAAGTTCATGTTGCATGCCGACTGGATAAATACCACCGAAAGCGCATGACGCAAACGCACCATAAAGTACAAGCTTTCGGTGAAAACGTATTGCAATAACCGAAACAGCGACGGCAGCAAGACCAAGTCGCGTTTCGCTTGGGTGACTAGGGTTTTGTTGTCCTGTTTAAATTGCTTCAAAGCGACTATCGGAATCGACTTCCAAGGCGGATACGCTTGGCGCATCTTGTACATATCGGCGTTGTCAAGCTGTTCGAGGAGTAGATCAGGTGACCCGTCGTCGCGGATCGATTCCACCAACGTGTACAATGCAACATGCACCATCGCTTTGGCATCGTTGAGTTGGCTCTCGATGACACCAACTCTAGTTGACACCAAGGTTTGAGCATGCAAGCAGTGTCCATGGCACCATGCATTCCTTACTTTGTTTCGTGCAAGTGGTTCCACTCGTTGAGCGTGATGGCTTTGGAAGTTGCGTCCGACGTCACATCGAGCGCGCATATCCTTCGAATGGTTGTGCTGACATCGTGGATAGTGCGCAACGCCTGCTGAAAGTGTGGGCGGGCAAAGTGCAAAGTTCGGCAAAGCTGCATTCGTGTCTCGCGATAGAGACGCAACTTGACATTCAAACACCAACTGGCAAACATGCGTCGACGAAGGAGTTGCTGGAACAGCGGGATGCCCTTGAGCAGATGGTCAAACATGTGACTATGGTAGACCCACTCGGCGACAGGTATGCACTCGACGTTCTCGTTTGCCTTGTAGTGAACCATGTTGGTAGGCCCCATGACGTAGTGCTCTTCTTTGTTGTTTTGAGTCAGCGGTGGAATATGGACAAGGTCATACGGCCGGAACACAGAATCGTTCGGCTTTTGCTTCTCCAGCTGGAAGTACAAGATATTGCGCCGATGCTTCTCGCATAGAAAGTACAAGATCGCGTCCTCAATCGTGTGGACGTTGTTGACATCCATGATGCTCTTCACAGGACTTGCTGGCTCCATTGTTGTGTTGTGTCGGAATCGTTCCACTAGTGTTGCGTACAGATCTTTGTTTGCCAGGCGCAGAGACACCATCGAACTCCTATGACATGTGATACACGAGATGAAGGAATGATCAAGCAGAACGTCATACTGTTTTTCACGCATTTGAATGCTTTCGCGCAGCTTTATGGTTCGATGTCCCTGGGTGAGTGGAGAAGGAAAGTTGTGCTTCGGTGGAGGAGCTGGAGCAGCAACTGATTTGAGTGCTTCGGGAATCGCCAAGTCGGGCTGCTTGCGTTTATGGAGAGGAACTCTTGCTGGTGGGTGCCACGATTTTGTCTTGGGCTTGTGCAATTGCAAGGCTGGTTGGGACTTGCGGAATTCGTCCTCCTTTTCGCGCGCCATGATGGAAGCGAGACGTTCGTACTCTGCGGCGTCGATCCACCTCGAGCTGTTGGCAAACTCGACTGCAACAGCTGCCTCATGCTGGTCGACTTCTTTTCTAGCATTCATGCGAACCGACTTGGATGTTGACGCCTCATCGTCCATCCCTGCTGCCGATCTCGACGACGTCGGCGTTGCTTCAACTTGCAACCGCGCTAAGCTTCGAAATAGTAATATTGCGGTTATCTGGAAAATTACATTTTTGTCTCCTTTTATTCAATCGTATCCGTAAAAATGTATTGAAAATTGTGATTGGTCAATAACAAATCCATTAAAATTCGACTGAGACATCGGCTGGTGCCTAGACGCTGTGTTGGGTTGTACGTTGGGACGGCTGTGAGCCCAACGATCGTTGAGGGCAACTCATGGGAGTCGTCAACATGCATGAGAGCAATTCGCTGGCCGCAACTTGACCAGAAGGACTTCGTAGTCGTCGTTCTTCGTTCGTCGCAGTCAGTTGTGAGTGCACTTACGAATCGCACGATGTAGCTGGGCAGGTATTCCTCGACAAATTCGCGCGAAATACGAACGTGAACAAGGTGAAGTCGTAGTCCTACCCTTGCTTCAAGTACGCTTCGATGTCGCTGGCACTACACACAACTACAATCTCTACATTTGAACAACGACCCTTTGAGTGCAAAGCAAGACGGACAAGGCAGCATGATGTAGAGCGACGCGCTCGAGGATGCCACCGACGCCAAGGGATGCAGGACAGGGCGTTTGTGTGCTAGCTTGCGGTCGTCTTTGTGCAAACTTGAGCACAAACACATGCGGCGAAACGACCATCGTGTCCGAGACGCTCAGGGACCACATTCAAGAGTGGGAAACCGACCTGGAACGCCGCTTGGCAATACGACTGAGCCGTTCTACGTGCTGGCTTCACAGGCCAATCTGTCGTGGGAGGGTGTCACCATTGCTGCAGGACGAGCTCCTCGTAGCCCCAAGTTGCGACTGAGATACCTGGCGATCCACTTTCGACGGGAACGAGATTACCTCATCGTCAACGTGCCTGGATCGTCAGCGGGATTAGTATGCGCGCAATACACGCCATCCGATGTTCATGGCAAAATGGCCTTTGTGTCCTCGCTTGCATTGCTGGCGGCCTGTTTCGTCACGATGTGTTCCTGTTTACCGTTTACCGAAAACCTCGCTTGGCGATGTTGCGCCCGGACGAAGGAGTCGGATGGGCCGTCGTGTGGAGTATGATGGGAGATTGCGAGCGATACGATTTTCCATGGTCTTCAGTTGGTTGTGATGCTATCGGTAGGTTCATGCTCGATCGCCTCCCGAATGGCCACACGAAGCGGCGCATGCTGAGCGGCGAAGTCGCCCATCCCTCCCACAGACGGGTATGTGTCGTTGGTGGACGAAGCGTCGCAATGACGAAGCATCATGTCGAGAGTTCCAGAGGCTAGTGCCTCGGCCAGCTCATCCATCCCATCGCCGCGGCACTGCGAGCACTTTTCTATTGGCATTTTGAACAGAATTGGGATGGGCCAATGTAGTTGTTTTTTAGCATGGCCATGTTGTGCATTCGATTCAGGACAGACCACACAACTCCCATTCTCGCACTTGCCATCGTTGTATCACTCACGGAAACCAACGCACGAGATGATCCCCGTGGTGGGAGTGGGCGATTACCCATGGCACAGGGTGGCAGTATACGCTCTTTGTATTCCGCAACAACCTTTGCAAGTTCCTCAGCTCGACCACCTTGATCACTAGTACGACAACGATTCAGTTGAGGCCCTTCTGGAAAGTAGCGCTTAAAGTGCCCTAAAGCCCTCCAACAATCCAACACCCTTGCACGGAATGGCTGCAGCGCGAGCTGCCCATACCGTCAGTGTCAAGCTCGGTCCAGCGAAACAGTTCGCTTCATATTTGTTCCATGGGCACTCGACACATCGACAATGCTGTGGGATCGCCAATCGTTACATGGACTGCCACGTGTGCGCCACGATATGTGACTGCTCTAGCAACGAGATTGCAAGCGGGGGATTCTCGACTTGGAGCTGCCGCCACGATGATGCGTGCATACGGACAACCACACATTCGGTCGCGGCTACGATCGTATGGTGGGGCATGTCGCCGTGGAAGTTGGGTATCGTGCGGCCAGAGCGAACGTGACCGACCTTTGCGCGCAAGTTGGCGTCATAAATGTCCAAGTGCCCGCGACACAGAAACCCCCACGCCCCAGGGCCTGGAGAGTCGACCGTGGTGTGCGGGGCCAGTGTCTCCACAGCATCCAAGTATTGAACAACTTCTGCAAGCGGTGCACCGTTTCCACCGGTCTCGGCGACATACTGCGTCCACGACGCATGCAACGCGCCGTACGAGTCAGCGTTGTGGTGGCACGTGCGATGGCGCTGCATGATGTGATTTAAGTTGTCGAGGTGCGGTAGCGACAACGTGGCAAATTGCGCCTCAACCGACGATGGGACGTGGCAAAGATGCATGGCAAAATGGCACCGGTCCGCGATCGTTTGAAGCCGTCGGAGGATCTGAAGAAACGAGCCGTCCACGAGAACCACTCGTTCAAAGTCGAGCACGAGCGTTTGGAATGGGCGGGTCTGCCACTCGGTGTCGACCACCGTGTGCACTTGCATCGCGTTGGCAAAGGACAGATTGCCGTGCAAGTGAACGACGTACGTGGCGTGCTCTGGCAGTGCCACGTCATGGTGGATGCACCCCGACACATGCAGGTTCAAGACAGCATTTAGCATGGACAAGACGATGCCGACGCCCATGCTGGGCAGCACCCCGAGTGTAAGAAAGCTACCGATCGTCGCGAGAATCGTCAACAGTTCCAACCGCGACAGGAACGAGGCCGGCGCGACCATGTAGTTTTCCAGAAAATGCAAGCCAATGTACATGAGGAGGCCCCCAAACACAAACTTGGGGATCACGAGGAGGGGGGCGAGTCCTACGGCCCACAGCGCGACGTGCAGCGCGGCACAAATGAGCACGGGGATCCGTGGATGTGCCTGGAAGTTGGCCATGAGCGCCATGGCGGATACGTAGTGCGTGCCACCGCAGCACCCGACGAGACCCGCGATGATGTTGGCCTTCCCAATCGTTTGGACCTCGACATCGATGTTGATGTTGCGCTGGAAGATTGTCGAGAGCGACCCGATCAAGACCGAGTACTTGAGCGAAACTAGCAGGAGCAGCGTAGGGGCAATTCCACCTATCGCGGCGGCTAGAGCGGACCACTGAACATCGCCCCACGAGAGTTCGACCCACGAGTACCATCGACGTGTCTCGTTGAGCATGCGGGGAGACCAGTTATACAGCCACGGAGCCTGATCCATGGCGGACGCCCACGCCACTGCGTGGAAGCCCCCAATCGAGCCCAAGATCAAGATCGGAAACACGACTGTCGGGGACACGTGGAAGGGCTTCGCCGCAGACGCAAGCAAGGCAAACAGGACGGTGGGGCTTGCAAGCGTCAGAGTGGACAGCGTGGTCGGAAACGCGACATTGGCACTGACTTCAAAGCCATCTTTGATGAGCACACCACCGAGTCCAGACAAAAACCCGGCAATCACTGACCAGATGGAGGAAGGGGAGGTTAGCTTTCGTGGGGTGGAAAGACGTGCCACCGGAAATGTACCTGGAAAGGGAAGGTAGTTGACGACAGACGTAAGTCGGAAGTAACCCAGCAGGAAGAGAATGCAGCCGATGAAGACCGAAGCGATGGCGGAGGCTACGAGCACTGTCGGGACCACCATCGACATGTCGTGCTGCAGAGTGGTGCTGATCTGCTGGGCCATCTCGGCCAGAATGGGCACACTGAACGATCCGATTGTGAGATATGGGAAGCAGGTACAGTGCACATTGAAGAACGTACATGGAAGCATCGATGGCGCCCATCGCATACGGCACTGTGCTTTGCCACGATAGAAACAAGCACATGATTGCAGTGCCGAGGAGATGCATGTCGATGGCGTTGGCAACATACGCCGACAGAGGCGTCGCGGTGCCGACGAGGACGCTCGCTGTCGACACGGCAATTGTCGACGTCAGCATGAATGCAATGCCGCCGGAGAGGCAATTCACGCCCACCCCGTTGACCACGCGCGACCACGACGGCGACGACGACTCTTGTGTGTCAATAGCCGCGTCCCAGTCGATGCAAACCTGGTGTCCGCTAGTTTGTCGGTCCATAAGAAGCGGCGCCATCTCATTCGCCTCGGGGCCGTCGGCTTTCTCTCCTTTCTTCATCTCGTCGCTCGCAATTGCCTGGCGAGACGTGTTGTGGTGTCCATAACGAACGTGCATAATCTGTTACAGATGTGGGGTCGTATGGGAGTTCAACAGGATAAACCAGCCCACATGGGAAATTCACACCGGATAATACGTTATCCGGATTTCGCCTGAGAAATACGGAGAATTTGTGTGTTTTGCCCTGCTCAAACGAGGTTGAAGTTGTCAGGTTCAATTTCGCCTGATCGTTTGAGCATTGAGCCCGCGCCGGTGGCGCCGCAAGCTCTGCGGCGACAAGTTGCTCTTGATGAGGAAGCCGCTGGCAGGTGAATACACCTCCACAGGAAGCTAATCATTGTCCATTGATGAACAGCTATAACGGCGCTACCTAGTCGCAGGACCTTCGTAGACTTGTCAAAAACGGTGCTTCGATCCCGTGGCAGCATCGGAATGTGAGCTTCCGTGGTCGTCATGCTGTGTACAAGAGCGCGACTTCTGTCGATGACGCCAATGGTTTTTGAACCAAAGAGTCGCGTGCACGAGGTGCTGGACGTTCGAAACCAGTCGTTCGGCGTTGGTGGCAGAGCTGGTATGGTGTGAATAGGGGGCACGAAACGATATTTGGAAAGACTGGCATTACAAAATTGCGACTTCACCTCGCTGGTACGTCATAAACGTCTGACCGGATGCGTCGGTGCATACGTCTCGGTCCTTCTTGTTCAAGTACTGGCGGTACTTTCGAATGGCAACGAATCCCACGACGAGCCCTGCGACAATGCCAAAGACGCTCCACCCTGCCGCGGCACCGCTTGAAGTGCTCGTCGATGACTTGGCGTCAGCCGTAATCGCTTCCACGGTATTTTCCTTCGAGCCGCCACCGAGATTGCCATTAGCCGCCGGGGCTGGTGGAGCATCGTTTGGCAGGACCGTAGGACTTGGATTGCCAGAGGAATCCGCGCCAGCTCCATTGGGTAAGTTCGCTGCTGCTGACTTGGGCGAACCGTTCGCGGCATTTGCTGCGGGGGATACAGTTGAGGTAGATGCCATCGTTGTGGTGGGTTTGGGGGTCGTGGTGGTCGGTTTTGGAGTCGTCGTCGTGGGTGGGGGCGTTGTGGTCGTTGGGGCAGGCGTCGTCGTCGGAATCACGTCAAACTTCCACGACGCGCCATCGACAGACAGCCCAAAGTGGCCCTCAAAGCCGACTTTGGCCGGCACATCAGCAAATTGAAAGTAAAATGGCCATTGGCTCGTCTCGCCCGTCAACTTGTCCACCCACGCCTCGTAGTCCTTAAAATACTGGGCAGCATTGGCACGACTGGACACGTAGTTGCCTTGCGTGATGCCGGCACTGGGCCACCCCGTTTCGGTGAGGCGGACTTTCTGTCCAAACGTTCGCACCATAGCTGCGTACCGCTTGTCGAGATTGTCGACAGGAAACATCATGGAGAACGCCGACGCGTCAAAGAATGGGTAAATGTTGACACCGACAACATCGCAAACCGCAACGAGGTCGGGATTCGCGAGAAATTGTCCGTCCGTTTGCACCGTTCCAATTGGAATACGGCCAAGGCCCTGTGCCGCGAACGCCGCCCGCACCACGCGGATCTTGTCCGCGATTTGCGACGCACTCCAATTGTGGTCCAAGTCTTCATTCCCCACGTACACAGCGACAACGTTGTTTGGGTGGCGCTTGGCGCCATCCACGGCAGCTTTCAAGTCGTCCTCGAACGCAATCGGTCCCCGAAGCCAGATCCCCGCTGCCACTTGCAGGCCCGCTGTCGCAGCGGCATCGATGAGGTTCAACTGGTTGGCGACCGACGTTTGGTACGTGCGAACGGCGCCAAACTTTTGCTTGAGAAAGGCGAAATGCGCATCGACGTTGCCGATAGCTTGAAACGAATCGTAGCAGATCCCGCTGGCGGCGTCTGTCGACGTGGCAATAACCGCTGCAGCAACGAACCACCACGCTGTGCCGATTGCCATGGCCTGGATTTTGGTGCTTGCCCAAGGATGCCAAAGTGGCCATGTACAGATTGTCGTGGATGCTAGCTATTTATAGGCCGACAAGACTGCCGCAGATGGATACGTTTGGAGTGTTTCTAGGCGCATGAGAGATGGTGGACTTCGAGAAAGCACCCCATGCTGATGAATCTCTGTGCTTCGTGGATGGGAATATGGGGACGATTCGTTTATTCTAAACCCTTGAACCTATGGGCAGTGGCAACATGGCATGCGTTCTGTGAGCTGAGTCCTGATTCCTTTCCAGCAGCACCGAGCCATCCATCTACTAGTGTCCGTCCGGTCCAACGTTAGATCGGGCGACGTGACGCTCTCTTTGCGACACGCAAAGAGAAAATACATACCTTATCCAGCCTCCACCACCCGCTTGTATGATCTACACCATTCACGTTCGGCGTTTGAGATGAGGAGCACGTCAACAAGCTGCATACATGCAGTGGCACCGTTGACTCCGATGGGCGGCGTGTGCTGGTGAAGCCATGACTTGCCATGAACGTCGACGTGGAGTGTCCCTTCAAAAGATCCGGATAATCGGCTGAACGTTCCGGATACCGTTTGCAACCAGCCTTTGTTCGAAGATAAACGAAGAGCAAGATGATGGAACCATCGTCGCCGAATGTGGCGGCGGCAGCGCTCGCGATGAACGACCGATCTCATGGCCTGCACTTTGGTAAGATAACCGATGTGAGTCATTCAAAGCGATAAGTCATTCATGTGTTCAGAGGTGTCTGTGGGAGACGGAGTTGACTTGGAAGATGGCACAATGTCCCCAACAGGTGAGGTCCAAGAGGAGTACATTCGTCGAATTTGCGTTGCAAAATCCTGAGTAGCCGAAGACGGTCTTTTGAAAGGGAAGAGCAGCCGCCCTGGGGGTGGTTTGTGCAGCTGCTTCACGCTTGCGTTTTACCAACCAGTATTGATAGGATCACGTTTCGCTCTGCTGACAAATCCCCTTGTTTGTAGTACTTTAACGTGGACACGATCGACATTCAAGTACGACTGACGCGAGCGCTTCTTCCATTCAAGCAAGACCCGGCCTTTAAGGACATGGCACTGAATGCCCCCGACGCATACGGGCCGTTCTGGATCAGCGCGACACTCGTGTTTTGCATGGCCAGTTGCAGCAACATTGCTTCGTGGCTGGACTACACGGGCGATGTTGCATTGTGGTCGTACGACTTTAGCCGAGTCGCTACCTCCATGACATTTGTGGGTCTCTACCTCATCGGTCTCCCTTTCGTCCTTTGGAGCGCAGGCAAGTACTGGGCCATTCCGTTGCCGCTCTCGTTCTTGGTCTGTCTGTATGGATATTCCCTGACGGCATTCCTTCCCGTCATGGTAAGTCAAATCTTGCGCTCCATCCTCGCAAGATTGCTTATTCTCCGTCATGCAGTTTATCTGCACAGCGCCTGCCGACGCTGTGGACTGGGTCGCGATGCTCATCTCGATGGCATGGTCGTGCTACTTTTTGCTCATCAACGTCTGGGGCTACGCAGCAGAGTACTTGTCCAAGGAGAAGCTGCTGCCGTTCCTGTCGTTCATCGGGTACATCCACTGCATCGATAGACTATATGGGCTTCACATCCGCTAGGATCACGAATCTGCTGTGGGTAATCTTGATCAAGCTCATCTTCTTCTAACGAGGCAACCAGCGATGGAAAGCTTAAACAGGGGTAACCTCGTTTTTGGTCCTGTTGTATGGATGACCAATACTCCATTCATTCGTCGTGGCAAGCACGCGTGGTGGATTCGGGCGTGCATGGTACACAGCCAAAATGTCGCCACGACCATCCCGATACACACAACACGCGTCGTGCTTCGTCATGGCGGCTCCGAGTCGCTCCGACTATGCTTGCCACATCGACGCTGCCGTCGTGCTAATCCTGTGCTATTGAAGGAAGCGCGGCCACTGGTTCCTCTCCCCGTCAATTCGGCAACTCTGGTCTCCTAGTGCACAAGTAGTGTCGTTTGCACGATACAAAACGTGGTTCCCTTGTGAGACTTACCGGCGCTGAGCCGCCCCATCTAGGAGGGTGGTCCGATTAATTCTCCGATACGTCTGTTGGAGCCGTGGGACTGCCGCGACGATTGCGCGATACTCGACATGACAACCTCCTACGCACGATTCGCAAATGGCCAAGAAGTGCAAGAGTTCACCATGCATCGACCACACACAACTGAGTTGGACATGTTGTAAATATTTTGGTGTGGGCTTTATGATAGCTGATTGAGCCCTCTACGCCGTTAGCTTAACTTCGTCGTATGATCCAGTCGCGTCCATGGGCTCCACGACCGATGAAGGCGCTCCGACGTCAACGACTACCTCGTCGTGGCATTCGTCGTCATCCTGGGCTGGTTGCATGAGCATGGTCGCTTGCTCTACGACGTAGCACTGCGAATGAACACTCGCATCACGTCAAGGTTGCAGGCAGTACCTTCTTCATCAAGGTCGTCAAAGTCGATGCCATTCGAGTCTGCCGACTTTTGAGATGTCAGCATCTTGCGGTTCCTACGTTTGGTCGGTTCAGGTTCTTGGCGCAAGACGTTGGGTCGAGGGGCGCAACGTACTTTAGGAACACAGCGAGGCGCATGTACTGGTTCGCGTTGCGCAACATCATCATAAAGTCTGCTGCGATTTCTTCGAGCTCTTCGACGACTCCTTGCTGCTGGAAATACAACGCGATCGACACAATGCTAAGCACCGTGGCAGTCACGTCGAATAGATTGGTCCATCGTGTCCAGAATTTGCGCTTTAGCGCAAGCATTCGGATGACGACTTCAACCACGAGCATGCAGCACAGAAGAATCTCTAACGAGATGAACACGTCGGACGTCGGCGTGCGCCAGTGGTTGGCCACGGTCCATGCCACACACGCCACGCTCGATGCAATCATGATCAAGTAGACCGTTCGGTAGAACGCTGAGAAATACAAGCGACTGGCTACCACCATGGCATACTCGGAGCATGGCATGTGCTGCCTCGGGTGGTGTACGCTTGGCCCCTTCGATCCGCACCATGGCCCCGGCATCGTCGCGGTCGCGCCTGGATTTCTTGTACCTGACTGAATGCTGCCAAGCATTGAAACTCCAAGGTAATACATACATTCTTTATATCCACCCAACATCTTGATATTGTTTTTGAAATATAAAATGGCCTCTGCCACGTCATCGTTATTGTATGGCCAACTTGAATTTAAATAATTGTACTCTACAGTGGCATCAGCAACCCAGGCAGAAAAGAATTTGAAACATGCACAAGTGTTTGTCGATCGGCCTTTCCCTTGCTCCAAGACCAGGACCAAAACTCTTGAGACCGCGCGCGGCGGTTGACCGAGGAGGCTGTAGTGAATCTGGTAGAGCAGCATTGCGTGCGAGCACCCTGTCCTCGTGGTTGCGGCTTCCTGATGATGCGTCGCATGGATCTCCCTTGGCGTGGATAAATCGGCCGTACCTCCAACTATGACAACAATCGAGGCTCCTCTTGCTTTGGCGGGCAACAATGCATCGTGCACTGGTCTACAGTAGCGGGAGCCGGTCCATCAATAGCTACGATAGACTTGCACCACTTTCTCCAAGTGAATCCTTTCCATTGAAACGCAATGTTATCCAATTGGGTTGGTGAAACCATCACTGACGACGTTATTTGGACTCGGCCTTGCCCTTGAGCACCATCGCCCACGACAAACTCGGTTGAATCGAACGCTCCTGGACCTTCTCGAACGACAAGTGGCCCGCAAACATGAGGCTCTTGTACTCGACGCCGTTGTCATCGATGGTCACGTTCACTGTGAGGTAGCCAGGCGCGACATCATTCGTATCGATCACAGGAAAGTCACTCCGAACCTCCTCGTGTCGTCCGCGTACCACGCGCTCGCTTCCTTGCCACTCACCGTTTTCACCGAATACGGTGAATACAGTGATCCATCCGCTCAAGTAACTTGGCCCAGATCCCCCAGGATAATAATGGCAAATGCGTTGCCAAAACTCGACGTCCGGTTTGTTGTTGGCCGCTGCCACAAATTGGTCCAAAACGGGCACGAGCAAGTCCCGCCACCCCGTCGCGATGGGCCCAAACGACGTCAGCTTGTCCACGCGATTTCGAATGGCTTCCCAGTCAGCGACAGTACCAAGCAGAGTCACGCTGGGAACGCCACACCGAAGGACAAACTTGTACGAAAAGTATTTCTTCATGGACGCCATCATGACGACACTGCCAACGATGCGATCGTGGTTCGTGGTGGTGCTGAACGACGGCAAAATCCACTCGCTGAGGGATGGGTCAACGAGGTGGTCGGTCATTTGATCGATCATTTGAGAGGCCAATTCGCCATAGTTGGCAGTGCGTAGAGTACCCCCACCGAATACAACTAGTTCCTTGGAACCTTCTTGGTGTTTGACCAAACTGTGGCGCACTTCTTCCGCATTCTTGTTCACGAACAATCCAAATTGTGTCGCAATGGCGAGCCACACATCGTCAGGACGCAAGATTAGATGGTGGTGCTCGTTGTATGCACGAACGACACCCAACACGAATCCGTTGGGCGATGGCAGCACGGCATCGCCGTCAAGATTTGGGGAGGACTGCAAGATCTCGGTGCATCCTTCTTCGTCATATTCCTTGCGTAAGCTCACCGGGTTGCCGTTCTTGTCGTGCGAACAGACCTTGATCACGTTGGCTTCCACCGGGGCAACGGCGAAGGTGACCATGATGGCGCCAGATCTCGAATGGATGCAGAAATGGGGAAAAGACTACCTACACACATTCCCGAGGATCAACATCCTGGGTGTTGGTATGGTGGAAGGAAATGGACTTGAGATTTGTATGTATTAGTATTATGCTGCAGTACCCATACAATTTCTCATATAAATTCCATGGAAAATGCATGCTTGGCGCTGAGTTCCTCGAAACAATTATTTCGCGGAGTTGCAATAATATCTATTTAGAGAGGTGTTGTCACCACGTGTTGGTCCAAGCACGCCGAGTACCGCGCAAGTGCGCACAGCGACACCAGGCATGCTTGGAAGGACGGTACCTCGACAACTGAACAACCTATGCTGGCGTCGTGAACTACAGTGATGATTTGGTTGTCGCACACGACAAGTATGCCAAGGTAGAGACCCTTCCACGACAATTAGGCGGTTCTGGCATAAACGATCAAAGGAGTAGGCTGCAGATCACCTCGTCGTCATTCCTCGTTCAGTTCTACCGATCGGAGTAGGTGACTTCAGTTGAAGCCATCTTGTGTTGCTGCGACGTATGGCTGAGCTCACGACACCGTTGTCGTCGACGCATCCTGTTAAGTGGGCTTCGCTCAAGAACAGGAAGCATTTGCATTCTTTTACAACGACGTTCATCAAGCCCCTGGCAGATATGATTGCAGCGATCAACGCAACCCGTACATTTCCACTGCGTTGCAACCGCGAGGAGCAGAAGGTGGACTACTTTAGGCATGACATGTGTGTGCCCAACACCATTACAACATTTGCAACCTGCCACCGCGAAAATTCGCATCCTGCCACGGTCACGTTGGAAGCTATAAAATTTCGTCTGGAGCCATGTGGACAACGTGATGGATCCGTGAAAGTGCCGACGTCGAAGAATCACGTCCCAGCATGGGAAATAAACGACGTGAGAGTACAAAACTTCCAAGAAATTGCTAGGAAGTTCGCCTTGCTTCCACTTCCAAGGCGAGGCAGACATCGCAGGAATTCCCCGTCTTGAATACTTCATGGCAAGGTCAAGCAGGAGAGCTTGGAAGCCATGCATTGTCGTGTGCCGAAAGGCTTTAAACGAGTCCTCCATCAACATCACGAGCAACGAACTGTGCAGGCAACGCAGGAATGCCACGGCACCGTCCATCGACTGCACGAGGATGCTGGTATGACATCGTTGCCGAAGATCGTTTGAAGGGTGGCTCCGACTTCACCATGTACCAACCCTACGACTGATAGATCGAAGTGGAGTGCGAAGTGCGGCGCCCGGTTAAAGAGACTTCCGCAAGGGAGGTGGAAGTCGAATCACGGCGTTTAAGTGGTCTTGCGACGACAGGGAAACTTTGAATGTATCGATCCCTTCGCAAGAATCGCATGGACATCTTGCAATGTGTTGTGCTGTCGAGCGTCGAAGCACTATGCCAAATCGAGTGGAATTGCGATGGCAAATCTGCGACCCTACCACGATCATGCCCATACCGTTCGGACGCTCGTCTTTTTCCAAAGTAAGACGATGCTATCATCGTCACTTTTGGCCAAGATATTGATAAAAAACAGTTCAATGCTGTCGCAAACTGTGAGAACTGTCGAAGCACGACCCGCGACTTCTTGATGGATGCCATGGATATGATCTAGATAGAGCGCGCTGAATTGCGCTTCCAAGCTGTACATTTCAGCTTCGATCGCAATGACGGCGGTCTTGGCGTCAATTTCAACGTCAAATTTCAACGTGCTTGGCATCAACGAGCTGTTCCTTGGCCTAATGTTAGAGGAGCTTAATCTCTGTCTCCTCTATAGTTTTTTTATGGTCAGCGACAAAGGATATGCGACTTGGCCTGTTTCAATGCGGCGTGCCAGTACGACCGTGGCGACTACGACATCTTTGACCTTCCTTTGCCATGACCAAAGATTGGATGATCGTCGATTCGTGCTTACTTGTGGCTGTCGAGAACACCGTTCGTCCGGCGTCAGGTCCACCGCCGTCAACTCGTCCGCCTTCTCGACGCCAACATCCGTTTGTCGCCAATGCATGGCCCTTCATGCACGGAGAGTGACCCGGATGCATGTCAAAGAGCACGAACGAAATGCAAATCAACGCTCAAACACTGCAGCAGGGCTAGCCAAACCAGCCGCAACAATATCGGGAGCGAAAGGGCTTCATTTGGTCGAAGGCCACTTGTGGGCGACACGGATAAGGCGTTTTGGAGGGATGTTGGACACTCCATCGTGATAAAACACTCTACGATCGGGGAATCCCTGCATTACAGTGGAGTCATCCGCCGCACGAGAGGCGAAGGGCACCGTCGTTGCGACTTGCCGATGGTTCCAATGCGACCGAGTTGCATCCGCCCGACCCAGCGCCAAATTCTGGTGAATTCGCACCTGCAGCCGGGGTTGGCTGGTGCCGTGGATATAGCATCAGGAAGCAACCACCAGACTTGTACTACGTCCAGCACAACCCTTGCCACCACGCAAACGTTCACCAACGCCCGATGTTGCGTTGGTTGTACCGACGACGGCGTGCATTGCATGGTTCACCAACGATTCTGATGTCATGAGAGGTGGTCGCAGTCTGCCTGGGATCGAAACAGCCAGGCCATGGTGCAGCCCAACGGCAAACGAGCTGCATGGAAGCTGAACAGACCACTGCTCCATTTTGGTGAACTCAACGTATAGTGTGTAGATGCGTTGTTGGTGCAGGAGCAGTCCTGCGAAATGCCATCACACACGTCGCATCCAGTCACCTTGAGCGCGAAGGCGATCGTGCCAATGGTTGCGTGGCTCATACACCCATCCACGCCAAGGGCTTCGTTGCTGTGGACATGTTAATCGATGCGGACGTATCTGCAAAGACATGCCAGGGCAAAGTGAGTGACGTGGCTAGCCATCGGCATGTGGGGGTGCTTGAGCTGGATGCAGTGCAGGGGCGAATGCACCTCAGGAGCCGTCGTAGCGACACCAAGGCCCGGAGGTACATCGCCAACTTCATTAGTTCGTCGAAAGGAGACGCCATGATCGCAATCCGCGTGAAGATGAGGTCTTCCCGTGCACCAGGGGGGGAGGGTGCTCGACAAAGTGTGGTTGATGACCAAGTACACCGCAGCACGGGCAACAGCACGACGAGGAGGGGAAGCAGGCAAGACAGACTAAAGCTGAAGACAACAAGAACCACGGAGACGCAACATTCACGGCCACCTAGAACGCAAGGAGCGACTGGCAGGTCAGCTCGACGATGCTAAGCATTTGCAAAAAAGGCTTCCTAGTCGCCACGATCACCCTGCAGCTGCGCGACACGCCAGCGCAGTGGCCATCGCGACCACAACCTACTCGGTATGCCTGGAAACGATACGACCAACGCTTGCTTGATCTCGTGCTCGGGTGGATGTATGTACCGAGGAGAGCTACCGACGCGTGTTACAGTATGCATGTACCCATCCACACCAGATCAGGTCGGCATCTACCAAGTAGTTGGTACAGAGGGGTTGACCGCGCCTCGGCGCAAGTTTGGGGAAAGTACTTCCACCGAGTCCGTTCAAAACAAATTACTCAGGGGGTCTACTTGGTGTGCATGGTAGCCAAAAACGCCAACGCTTCGTCCTTCTCGGCCGCACATCGCTTCTTGTCCCACTTGAGCAGCTGCGCCATCATCGCAATCACCTTATCCATGACTTGTTCCGTCGCAACGGCGTCGATATACGCGAGGCGGGTGCGGCGGGCGAGCACGTCCACGGCGCGGACAGCATACTCCTGCTGGACGGCAAAGATCACTTCCGACTCTACGTACGGGTACTTGGGGTGGAGGCGCTTGGGGTGGTCGCCGGCCTTGCGGTGCAGGAACCCGCATTTCTCGAGCTCGCCAAGCTGCAGCGCGCGCGTGCCATAGTTCTTGGTCAAATGCTCCGCAATGTCCTTGTCCATGTGGTACTTTTCCCGGAGTGTAATCGTGATGCGGTCGAACTTTTGGCTGCATACTTCTCCGATCCGGTCGGCGCCGACCAGCTGCATCATGCGCGTCTTGCAGGCGTCTTGCGCCAGGTCTGGAAACAATGCCTGAACTTTGTCGATCGTGTCTTGGGCCATCCTGCGGTAGGTGGTCCATTTGCCTCCAGCAATCGTAACCATCTTGGACGGCGACACGTCGAGCACGTGCTCGCGTGAGATTTGCGATGTGTTGGTGGGGTGCCGCGGATCTTTCACGAGCGGGCGGATGCCGCTCCACGACGACCGAACATCGGCTTCCGTCACGGTCGCGTTCAAGTACCGGTTCGACTCGTTCAGGATGAATTGGACCTCGGCTTTCGTTGGCGATGGCAGCATTGTAATGGCCGACTCCGAATCGGTCGTGCCAGCTAGCGTCCCATTCTCCCATGGCAAATAAAACAATACACGTCCGTCCGTCGTTTTGGGGATGATAAGCCCCATCCTGTTGGGACTAAAGTGGTCTGGAAGAACGACGTGGACCCCTGCTGCGGGGACGCAGATCTTGTCGGCGTCCGGGTTGTCCATCAATCGAATGTCATCTATGACGCAGACGCGCACGAGCTCGTTGGCACTCACCAATTCCAATCCAAGGCCATTGTGTGTTTTACTCGAGACGGTACCTGTGAAAGGGCCGGTTGCATTGATCACAGCCCTGGCGTGGATGTCCCATTGCTCGCCGGTGTGGGTGTCCTGCACATGGACACCACAAACGTTGCCGTCGTTGTCCTTGAGAAGGCGTTGGACTTGAACGTAGTTGGCAGCTGTCGCGCCACTCTGGACCGCCGTCAGCACCAGTGACAAGTTCATGCGAGTGTCGTTCATCTGGCCGTCGTAGTACACAATCGCGCCTTTCAGTCCGTCCTTCTTCAGGTTCGGGTACTGGTACATGGCTTCGTCCGAGTCGATGTAGTAGCTCCCTGGCACGGAGCGACCGTGGCCAGCCACGAAATCGTACATCTAATGCAGCAGTGTCAAGAGCATGATGGCAAGTGGTGCTGCTGGTACCTTGGCACCGACCCACATGTACGGAATTTCGGACCAAGTGTAGATCGGGATCATGATGGGAAGTGCGCGATTCATGTATGGTGCTGCTGCAAGCATGTGCTTGCGTTCTTCCAGCGCTTCCAGGACCTTTTCCAATGACGACGACGAATCATGCAAGGCGTTGCCCAAGAAAGAGCTTACCAGTTTGTACGCTGCTATGTCAAGTTTCATGAAGGCGGTCTCAAGGTATCGAATCCCGCCATGGATCAATTTTGTCGACCGTCCCGATGTGCCTGCACCGAAATCGCTGCGTTCGACCAAAGCAACTTTCATCCCACGCGTGGCTGCATCCAACGCGCAACCAGCGCCAGTTGCACCTCCACCGATGACAACCACATCAAACGAGTCCTTGGCCTTGAGCTTCTGAAGCTGCAGCTCACGATCGGGCACTTCCCACGGCACAATGACATGGCCGTCGTCGCACTCTATGGGCTTGACGTACTTGAACACACCGTTCTTGTCCTTGTTGTGGCTGTCTGGGTGGTAGACCGTGCTCTTGTTGCTCGTGGTCGAATACGTTCCTGCGGTTGCACCAAGCAATGACACTGCCACGCGACGGTGCAGCGGCGACGCAAGGCGGTACATAGCTGCCGTGACAGATAAGCGTCGTACGCGCGAGTGTTGCGAAGGTGCTCTTCTCCTTGGACGTCCCTGCGGTGGATATGCAACCGTTACGAAAATCCTCGGCTCTGATTGGCTGGTATCCGGATCTCCTGGGGTCTACCCGGATATCGCCGCCGACCCCAGATAAAATAATTTTTTTCAACCAATCCAACGCGAATTCCTCGAGGTCGGTGTTGACGAAGCACAGGCGGATGGGTTCGCGGCAAGGCGCGCCTTCCATGGCATGGCGTGTTCGAAAGGAATGGCGTGATGTGGCGCCGCTACGACGCTGGCAGTCCAGCCACGAGCACGCACGCAAAACAGGGGCAGGAATCTCTGCGCCACCACATGATGGACACTTGGCGAATATATCCTTTCTTGCCCATATCAGAACTCGTTCGATAGGACACTCCAAACCATCGACTCCATGGAGAATTTTCACATGGCGCCGGCGTTTTGAGGCGCGATGAGGTGTAGTAGATGGCTGCGAGACACCTCGTTCAGCACAGATTTCCGAAGGAACATGGGCCTGGTGTTGAAGGTCCCCATTCTTCTTTCAGTTCGAGTGCCAGTGTCGATGGCCGTACGTGCCTGCAGAGTTGTGAAGCCGACCTGGCTTGTTTTTCACTCAAGGTAAAAAGATGCGCCGGTGCATTACCATTCAAGTTCTACGATACAAAAGCGTCCAACAACACCATCCTCACGTGCTCTAACCGTGGTTGGAGCCAGAGCTTCCAATGCGAGACACGCGCGGTCGAAGGCGGGCGGCCGGGTCACACCGACTACACACGCACTTGCCGTTGATGGCGGGGCAGTGCATGATAAAGTTGTGGCTAGTGTACTTTTTGTGGCCATTGCAAAATTGGCGGTCGCAAACGCTGCAGTAGTGCAGACCAACGTTCCACCCACCCGTCTTGGTTTCCTTCGGGTCGAGGCAGATGTAGCACTGGTCGCGGGGAATGAGGGGCGCGGCCGGTGCGACAGCGGGCAACTGGACCGGGTTTGTCGCCATGTACGTCGACTGCGCCGACTTGCTCACGAGACCGAACGCGTTGGTAGCTTCGACGACAAATTTGTACGTTTGGCCAAATTTCAAGCCCGTCACATGGCACACCGTCGGCAGCGGGCGATCCGTGAGCTTGATAAACATGGTCGATCCCGCTTCATCTGTCCATCGAACGCAGTAGCAGACAATGTCGACGTGGTTATCGACCGGGCGGTCCCACTTGATGCGGAGGCGGGCCTGAGTCGGGGATGCTGCGTGATCGGCAACGTTGTCGAGAGTCACTTCAACGCGGGTCGGTGCATTCGGTGGCAATCGCCGGACGAACCGGAGGAAGAAATTGGCGTCGCCATAAATGAAGGCGCGCAAGGGAGCCAGGAACAGAACCGTCACGATGAGCACTTCGTCGAGCCAAAACAAGTACGTGGCGTAAAAGACCCACCACGATGTCGAATCGTCGGGGCCATCCGGGACGACAGGCACGACCGCCGCGGCCGTGTACGTCACCGTTGGCAGCGACAACCCGCCAATGTCGGTGCATTCAACTTCCACACGCTTGCTTCGGCCAAACGAGTTCCACGTGGTCACGCGGTAGCTCTTCGACGTTGCGTCGAGGTCGTCGTCCATGTCGGTTAATACGTGGCTGTGACTTGTCTCTTTGCCAAACGTCAACGTGTGCCAGTCGTTGTGATGTTGCACCTACGGCACGCGATAACGTCATGAGATGTCACCATGACACGCGATGCCGGCACGCCAACCTGGAGCTGGTAATGGGACGAAGCCGACTGGTCGGGCGGGGTCCATTGCAGCTTGATCTTGGGTGGGCGCGACGCCTTGGCTGGAACCACCGCGCACTTGGTTTCTTTGATTTCTGCTGGCGCTGGAGGCAGTCAACAGGTTAGGTGCAACCAACGAAGTAGTCGTGAATTCCGAACGCCAACCTACCTTTGCCGACTTGGGCGATTTTGCGCTTCATCATCAGCGCGAGTTGCTGGCGATGGAGCGAACTCGCAATCCCGAGCTCAGCCAAACGGTCGCCGTTGTTCTCCATGAGCAGTGGAAACGTATAACCCGACACAAAGTGGTCGCGAAACACTTGAGCGTATTGCGGCAAGTGCACCGAGTACGACACCCAGTCAGCCACTTCGTCCACAGTCATTTCGGCGCCGAGAAGAGCGTACTGCGTATCGAGTTCTTCCGTGGATACGAACGAGTCGTCGTTTTTGTCCATCGAGTTGAATTCCTTCGAGACATGGTCGACTTGCAACACCTGCACACGACAAGGCACAGGTCAGGTCCGTGGTCATAATCGAGCACAAAACCATCGCATGCACAGTCGACGAACCCACGTACTGAGCGCATTTCGTCCTTTTCGATACGACCGCTCGCGTCCGTGTCGAAAGCATGATGAAGTTTCTCTCGCAGCGCGGTGAACTCCTTAGGATTCATAATCCCATCCTGGTCTTCATCTTCCATAGCATGCATTGTCGATGGCACGACATCTGCATCGACTGTGGTCATACTCAGGACGAACAGCGCCGCCACATGCCGCGCCACAACCCATCGGCCCATCACCATCTTGACACTTAATATCCTGAAAGGGACTGCGCCACGTTTCCAAGTCAGATATCCGGATAATGGTGCATCTTCCGGATGCGACAGGTTGTCACGTCATTGGTGCCATCAACGCATCAACGAGATGCGCATCGCAGTCGCCGAGTCGGCGGCACCTGCGGTGGTTTCTGGACCCAGCACCCATTGCCGCTCCGTCGCCCATGACTCGACGGGAGAGCGGATAACGTGGTGGGCAGCAACGCCATCGGCACCCTCGCAAATCGATGGGGAATGTAAGATGGTTAAATTAGAACACCGAGGATGTCGTGTGTTTGGAGTGCTTGAGGGTCGCCTTTTTCTGAATCAGCGTCGGCACTTCGTCGTAGGGCGACCTGAACGGAGACGGCTCGACGGCAACCTTGACCTCGTCCTTAATGTGCTTGAATGCAGTCTTTGCTGGTGGCGGACTGGCTGGTCGAAACGATGACTTCTCCTGGGGGGTTTTCGCGCGGTGCTGGAGGGTCGGTAACGGGTCGCTGTGGCCACTTTCCCTCGACAACGAGCTGCCACCGTCGCTGCTGACAGGGCGCTTGGACTTCTTCGGCTTGGCACCGAGCACCTGGTCGATTTTCTTGCTTGCTTTCTTCCACTTCTTGGTGATCTTGACCGTTTCCATCGTTTCGACAATCGCGTCTCGTTGGATCTTGGACCGCACGCTAGCTTCTTTGCGCTGTCGCACCAAGTCGACTTTTTGTTGGAGCAGCGACTCGGTGCGCTCTTCCGCCTCGCGGATCTTGCGCAGGGTCTCGAGCCGCTTGTACTCTTGAATCCGCTTCATGCGATCGACGTTGCTCAACTTGAGCTGTTTGTGAATGAGCCGTTGTTCCCGGCGTAGCTGGAGCTCTCGATTGTGTGCCTCCTGGACGCTCTGCACGTTCTCTTCGACTTCTCGCTGTTTTTCCAGCAGCATGAGCTTTTTTCGCTCTTCCTCGCGTCGTGCTTCCTCCAACACCATCTGTCGCTTCCGCTCCATCAATTCCATTTCTTGATGTGCCAGTTCACGCTGCCGGTCCTGCTCCTCCTTCATTTGAGCGCGCAACAGCTCAGACTGGCGCTGCTTTTGTCGAATTTCGCGCTTCCGTTCGAGCTCGACACGCCGGGCTTGCTTGAGGTTCTTACTGATGCGCTTGCTCACCATCTCCCGCCTCTCTTCCATTTCGAGCGTCCGTTGTTCTCGCTGCTCCTCCATCATGCGATTGCGCGTCTCTTCGGCCAACGTGAGTTCGTCCAGGCGTGCTTGGATTTCAGCCTGCTGCTTGGCCACGATCGCCTCGGTCTTTAGGCGGTGCTCCTCGGCCTTCTTTTTGCGCTCTTCCTCGCGCATCTTCATTTCAATTTTTCGGAGCCGTTCCTGGCGAGCTTTTTGGTCGGCCAACTCTTTGTCCCGCTGAAACATCTGAGCCGCGAGTTGCCGCCTCCGCTCCTCGGCGGCGTCCTCCTGCGCTTTCTTCTGGATCTCTTTGATACGCTTGAGCTCGGCAAGCTCTTTCATGCGCTGCTGTTTTTCTGCTTCCATCGCGTCGTGCATGGCCTTGTCCCGGATTTGTTTGTCGGCTGCTTCCTCGGCGAGTCGGTTCATTTTCATTTCAAACTCGAGCATTTGCTCGATCTCACGTTGCTGGCGAAATTGCACCTTCTCCAATCGACGTTGCTCGACCTCAATCATACTCGACGCCTTGTCTTTGTCGGGGCTGTCGGCTTTCTTGGGCGAATTCGACGGCGACCGATGCGGCGGGCGGAACGAATTGCCCGTCTCGGCTGCGTCTTCGTCCGCCAGAATCTTCTTCTTTTCGGCCCGGACGAGCTTCATTTGGTCGTGGCGCCGCATGCTATATGCCTCATGACGCATCTTCTGCACCGCTGGCGACACCCCGTTGTCCCCAAACGAGTCCAAATCGCGGATCTTGAGCGTCTCAGGGTTCACGCCCGTGCGGAGACATGCCTCTGCCGACCGCGGCGTGAGGACAATTTTCTCCGGCGGTGGGTTGATTCCGTTGGCTTTTAGTGTCGACAGCGTTGAAAAGACCTCCTCGACGGTCTGCGGACGGAGTTTTCCTCGCTTTTTCTTCTTCTTCTTTGACGGACTCAATTGCGCCGTGTCTGTCGTAGTGCTCGGCTCCACCACACTCGCATGGCTGCACGGGCTTTCCTGGGCGTACGCCGCCTCGGACGTCATGGAGAAGCCAGGCAAAAAAGGGTATTTATAGGAGCGCGACGGTCGACCGACACGAGCAGTTTCGCAGAGGCTTTGTCGACGTGGCTATTCTTGGCGCGTCGACCTCGCCAGCACAAATTTCCAGGTCGCGCTAGTCGCAGTCACTCTGCCGCGTGGCGAGGATTGCAAACACCATGGCGAATGCACGGAGAAGACCTGCGTCGATGCATTCAGTACACGTGAGGCACAAGCTTGCTCACGTTGATGGCGATGTCGACCGTACGAGAACGCCAGTGCAGTCAATATGTCTTTCATGGAAGTGGACAGTGTTGAGGTCCGGGTTGACTACCCGAAGTTGGAGTGGTCGTGCGTGCTCGTTGTACCTAACAACTAGCCTTCTTTACGAAATGTGATCGCTGAAAGCACACGAGTGTCGGCGCAGCGATGGCAGTCGCTGAAAGCACACGAGTGTCGGCGCAGCGATGGCAGTCTTGGGAGACAAAACAGACTGGTGCGAATCCGCAGCATTACGCTAAACTGGCAACTACCAAGTCCGAGTTGAGTGCGTGCACGGCATGGAGCACTTTGCCAACAGCGTGGGTGTTGGCTTCTCGAAACACGAGCGGCCAGTCGGGTCGCATGTATTCCGGCGAGTGAATAAATTCAAAGCGCAGCCGCACTTGACGCTGGTCGCCGCCGTCGCCTTCGTCAAACACCGCAACCACTTTCGCCAGTTGTTGAATGGGTCCGGCGTGTACCACCCCTTGGATATTCTCCTTGAGCAGCATGGACGCATTGAGCACGTGGACTTGCGCATCAAACTGGCGCGTCGCGATCGGCTGCTCAAGTCATCAACATCGACGGCACCATCGCATTCCACGAAACGTACGCTGAGATTGGGGTGGACGAGCATCATGCCCCGGCGCATCGACGCCATTTCAATCTAGCGCAGGCAGCTGGTCATGACCGACAAGGACATGCGAAACACAGTACATCGTCGTGGTCGAGGGATGTAACGAGAAGCGCCGCTGTCTGCCCGGCAAACACGCACTTGGCAGGGGTGCGCTGGACCTCGATGCTTTTCACGTGAACGCCATAGAACGCCCCCGAGTTGGTCGGGCCGAGCAAGAGAGACTCCCCTACGTGGACCGTGCCGCTAGGAGCGTTCGAGGTGAGCAGTCCAGCTCAAGTTACGTCATCTTGGCACGTGGTCTACCTTTGAACCAACCCCGTGACGATCGTGCCCACATCGTCTGACGGAAAATGGCCGCTGATGTGGAATTCGCAACTGCAGTGGCGAACCGACGTCCATTCCTGCAACCTTTTCTCAACCGAGACAAAAAACGACGCGCCTCATGCACGTACCCTAGTGGGATGGATCGACGCAAGAAATTGCTGGAGCAATGCCATGCTACAAGAAAAACAGTCACAACCAAAACGCGGCGACGGAAGCCTACTTCGTGCCGGTGACGTTGGAAACGTGAAATACTGGAATGGGGACTGCGTCTTGGAGAACCTGATATGCTGCAAGGTCGTCGGCGGTTGCGATAACGCGAGGAGGCGGCTGGTGCAGCATCTAGCTCCACAGCTCCATGAAGAACCGATTCCATCCAACGAAACTGGGACGCACCGACAGCGTCGAGTGGATTCCGTCCACGGTTTGTTCTATCCTGGAATGTGCCGCCAAGTCGACTTTGGTCACCACCACAAACACACGGATCTAGAATGCACTGTGGAACTCGGAATACGCGAGGCGGACGGACGCACCCCCAGGCCAAGAACAATGCGCAGATGCTCCAGTGTCATGGGCTGCACCCCCGTTGTCGCATCCACAACCAACATGGCGTAGTCTGGGAACTGACTCGTTAAGCCCGACGCCGTGATTTTGAGGTAGCGCTGATGCCCCGCGAGGTCACTGAACATGATCAACTTGGTGCTTTGCGCATCGATGCTCGACGCGTTGCGACTCTCGAGGGAGCTGAACTTGCAAATTTTGCCTTCGTTCGTCACGCCTGCACAGCTCTGGGGGGTCGTGTTCATAAGGACCTGCTTACCAAGAATCTGTTCGCTGATGCTAGATGTGCGGCCGTCTTCAATTTCGTGCAAGTGCCTGCCTCGACATTATCACGATGCGATGGGATGTGTGTCAGGAGTACATACCGAAGCACTTGCATGCGAGCGAGCCCGTTCCCGTCGTCCAAACAACCCCGAGTTAACACACCGATAAGGGTGGATTTGCCGCTGTCAAAGTCGCCGATCACAGACACTGCAGCATGGGATCGTGAGGGAGTGCAGTCGCGAGCATGACATGGAATCGACCATCAAGGTACCTCGCACTTGCTTCTTTGCATGGGTTTCGGCAATACGACTGATCGCGACACGTGCTGCTTTGTACGTGTCGGACGTGCCTGGGCGCACAGTGTGGACTTGCATCTCGGCCGACAACACTTGGCACATGCGACAGAGTGTGTTCAAGCTCGTTTCCAAGTCGTGAGGGGGCATCCCAACGACCATGCCATCGTCAGCAACTCCGAGTTCGTAGAACGCATACCCGTGGCCTTCGTTCAGCCGCCAGTTCAACTGGGTCACGAGATGTTGGAACCGATCTACCCACGACATCTTGCCACGACTGGGATGCACCTAGGAAATGACTGTACCTGCCGTAGGGTGGAGCAATTGCAGCTTGTACTCGACGTTCCCTTGCTCTACTTCTGCCGGCAGAGCATTCATCGTGGTCCGTCGGGCGCTGTCTCCGTCGGCCGTATGGCACATTGGCCGGTAGAACGAACAATGGCGAGTTCATGAAACTTCTCGTGGCGTGGTGTATCAAAGAATATAATGTATACTATTCAAAAGATAATAAAATAAAAAATGGTCCGTTTCGACCCTAATTTGAAACCGGACCACCCTGGCAAGTTCAACGTGCGCCGATCGCGGCACCATCAACAGGGCGCCGGGTGAGGGATCGCGGCGTCGGGACCCTGTCCAGCAAGTACGTGGCAGTGACCGCACTGTCCCTGTGCACTGAAGCGCAGTGACTTTCACTCAAACGAATGCACTGACGTGCATGGGCCATCGCAGTTTGTGGTCTTGGGTGAAAGCATGCCGACCGAATGAGCCATCTCTCATTCGAGTTCATCGACACCTTGCATTCGAGAAACAACACCGATACACCAACTAAACCCTGGTCTACCCCGCTAAAGTCGACGCCGCCACGTCCATGGAGTGCGGTGGGGAGGGCATGCGAGACGTCTCAGCTGATCGTGACCTCCTTTGGCGTCCTTCCTCGTCGATCCCTCACTTCACACGACCAGGTGTGGTGCATCGCATGCAATACACGGGTTGAATGCGAGCGGCGTGGCATCCTCGTCGTGCTTGAGTTGTCTATAGCACGCACCTTCAAACTTGTTGCGGCAGAGGCGAGCAACATCGTCACCCATGACGGTGACGTGGCGCTGGAACTTGACAAACTTGGTGTGCTCGTCGCCGGCGTCGCTGACATCGCCGCCCCAAAACCGCGCTTCGTCGTCGAGGCTCACGTAGCCGTCTTTCGTGAAAAAGTGGGAATTCAAGTGCAAGATGCGCACGCGGGTGTGGCATGGCGTGAGGCGATCGAGCACAACCCTGCACAACACCAACGTCGCGTCCTTATCAACGTCGTCATGGCTATCGTAGTGACTTACCACGCCATGCGATTCCGCTGACGCGACCCCGATGGCACGATCGCGTCGTCATGGATGTTTTGCCCGACAAACACGACCCGATCCGGACCGTCGGCGTACTCGCGGCCCAAGTAGTTGACTGTTTCGTCGGGGCTCGTGATCGTGTGGCGGTAAATCATCTTCTCTGGCATGTTGTCTAGCACCTGCAAGGACATGGCGAGTTCGGTCGATGCGACACATAGGCCAACGCGGCAGTACCTCGGTGTGAAGCACAACGAATCCGCCCAGCATCATGGACCGCCACACGTTGTCTCGAAAGCACTCGACAACAAACTCCATCGGCATATCCATCTCCTTTTGGTACCGCCACACGTACTGCATGACGTCGGGGTCGGTCGAGTCGATGGCAAAGTCGCCGCTGATCTCTTCTGGCGCGACGGACGGAAACGCATACCGTTGAAACACCGCTTCCGTGTTGTGATACAAGTGAGCGGTGATCCAGTCGAACCCGACGACGCGCGATTCGGGGCTCGCGAGCAGCGTCACGTTTCGCCACGTGTGGGTTGGTGCGGTGAGCGCAGTCTACGAGAGATGCCGTCTGCGTGGACGTTGGTACGGGTCCCTTACCGCGTGGCGCGTCTGGACGTTCACCCATGCCTGCAAAGTCTTGAGCAGCTCTCGTTGTCCATGGCGTTGGCGCCGAAGTCGGCGATTTTCGTCCACGACGAGCTTGCAGTCCTCTTCTAGCCCTGCGGCCACGTCCTTCCAGGACAACGCGTACCCTGACATATCGTCATCACGTTGCGAACTCGCCATGTGGAGCTGCGCTAGCTGTGCTTCCAGGGCGGCGACTTCGTCCCTGAGCGAAAGCATCTGCTGGACGAGCTTCGCTTGGAAGATACGCTGCTTCTCGCGATTGTATTCGCGCTTCTTCGCTTTCGCCGCCGCGGCCGCGTCCGTCTCCATCTCTCTGCCTTCCCCGAGGAATGGCCTCCGAACATCGAACGCTGAAAAGAATGTTCGTGAACGACGTTTTTCTATTAAACGCGTTTTTTCACTGATTTGAATTTCCCATCTTCTGCTTTGGACACCACGCCGCGGCGACGACGCGCTGGGATGACGGCGTCAGGAGGCTGAGCTTCGTGCGACCCGTGGAGAGTCGACGCCAAGCAAACCTGCACACATTGATGGAGCAGTTCATCCACCCAAGATGCTGCGCAAATGGAAATTTACCACCAAAAGCCCGGCTTGACGGTCCGTGTCGATCGACAAACGAGTTCATGCTCTGCCGCTTGGGAGTCACAGCCGCGTGAAACAGTTGGTCGTCGGCGTGAACGGTCTGCGGCACGAGGGCATACATAGGTCAGAACATGATGTCATGCGGCCGTGGCGATCGAGTACGTGGCGTCGCCTCCATTTATCTTGTTGAATGAGCCCCAACCCGTTACAACAACCAACGCCCGCCACCAAAACTCACCCACGCCCTTCTTACCGGTGCATCGGCGACCAGTGCAAGCAAAGTCACGTCGGGCACAACCGTCGCCATCGTGAGCCCCGTCGTCAGTTGGTTGGGGGTGGAAGGGCGAGTTGAAGAGCGGGCACACATCGTCGAAGGAAGCGTCCAAACGACGCTGGTCGCGGCACAATTAGTACACGAGTCCGCCGGGGTTGCAAGTGTCCATCACAACGTCGTCGATGACGTTCGGCGACTTCAACGGGCAGCCATGCATGTACCCCTCGAACATGCGAAATCCGTGTTGGCGTAGAGATAGAGTGTGAATTGAGCCACCACCGTCGTTCACGACCACGCGTCTGCGCACAGCGCGAAGTTGCGCCAAGACTTGAGCGACGACGACATTGCACGTTCCTCGATCATCATGCCGTGAGAACGCCTTGAGCAATCGGACAACGCTGGCAAGGCGGGACGTGGCTTTCGTTACCGCCATGAAGTCCACGACCTGTCGTCGTTGGTGTTTCGTTTGACGATGCCAAGCCATCTCTTGTCTCTGAAAAAGACGCCGTGGTATCGGCCATCGCATCGGCCATTTCGTTCCAAGACGGCAACCGCGTCGACGCTGGTTCGTCCCCCTGAATCAACTGTGCGCGTCGATATGTGCTTGGCGACCTCAGCTTCGCACAGCGACGACGTCCTGGGAGCGTCTGCTTTGGACGACACGATGTGATTTCTGTGTCTGCGCATTGTTTCACGCACCACCTTTCGCGCAATGGAATGCTGACCCGACCATGTCGCACTGCTCGCTGCCTTGACGTTGTAGTGTACTGACGTACGAAGGACCAGGCGGCACTTCGGCAATAGTTTGCCCATCTCACAACATCGCATCAGAACCACACGTCATGTACTTGGTCGTGCGGCATCGAAGCTGCGACACCCTGCCGTTCCCAACATCGCGGTGACGCATTCGATCCCTGGTTGGGCGCCGTCGAGGTAAATGCTCACCGACGCTGTGCCATGCCCTCGCAGTTGGATGTGTCCGACAAACGAGGACTCCGCCATCACCTCGATTGACTGCGATTTGCCTCGGGATATCACGGTGAATGGGGCACATGGTGGGGGACATGGTTGTCGCCAGCATGTTCATGGATCTTGTCCCTGTGCAGATATGCCGGCAAAGTTGTCATCCTTGGAGGTATTGGAAGGCGATCGATGGAGTTGGGTGGGGTTGGGTACATGGGGGCCGACAGACAGGCTGCGTAAGGTATTCGTCCGTCGCAGCGATGCCATCGTGAGCGCACTCCATCGATTGCGGTTATGTGGGCGGCACTTTCCTTGTAGCCTAGCTACCACCTTGGAATGTTCTTGTGGACTCGAAGGACGTGTGCCGTGCAGCAGCTCTAGCACTCGCCACTCGGTGGCATCCCGCACGTCGCCAGCCGGCTCTGTGCATGTCCCAGTCGTGACATGTAAACGAAGTCACGGCTGACACCGCCATGCATTAACTCTGCCAGGAACTGCCTTCTGCTGCGACCTGTTGTGCCATGTACATCGCATTTTCACTTTGTTGTAAAAGTCCTCCCCGAACGAGTCGCCGTTGCGGTTGGCGACGTGCCGCACGTGATCCGCAAAGTGATCTAGTTGGTGACGGGTCGTGGGAAACCTGGCAACGTCACAGCCCCATCGCAACGCTTCGTCCTCAACGCTGACGTACCTTTCCTTGGTAAACCCGTGCGAATGGATGCACCTTGCTCGGACGCGAGTTCGGCCACGCCTGCCAAGGCAATCCTACAGCGCCGACCTGCGGTCACCACCACCCCCTCGATGGAGATGCCACTTACCAAATCATTCGATTCCGCTGGAACCGCGCGGTCGGAAACACAGCGTCGTCGTGGACGTTCTGAGCGACGAATACACACCGATTTTTGGTCGGTGGAACTGCCGCGCCAAGAAGTGCACCGGGTTGTTGGGCCCCCATTCCGTGCAAGTCGCGGAGCATCTAGCGAGACGGGTGAGGCTCTGGACGACCTGTCGCTCACCGTGCCTCGTCGTCGTGGCTGATGGCCACGTTGGCCTCGATGGTCCATCCCCGCAAGTGGAGCCTTCAAGTACACGTAAAAATGCACGTGCCCTTCATTTGCCCGACGAGGTTCGGACGAGCAAAGATGTCTCGGACGTACTTGAGTGATGCGGGAAAGTCCCGGTGGCTCCGCCACACGTACATGCAGCAGTCGGGATCCGTCATGTCGAGAGAAAATTCAGACACGGCGTCGGACGGTGGAAACCCCATGCGCTGAAACGAGCTGTCGCAGTGGTGGTGGAGGTATCGCGTGATCCAGTGTCGAAGGCGCGAGTCGCCGCGACGCGGGGTGGGCACCCAGCGTTGCAGCAGGCGCTTGGCGGAACAGGTTGGAGACACCGCCGTCGTTGGCGTGAGCTCCAGCAGTGCATGAAGAGGGTGGAGAAGAGTTGTTACGGGGATGGGTCGAACGTGCATGACCCACCACTGCTGCATGGACCGGATCAACGTGGCGTGGTGGTTGCTCTGATTTCTCGCAGTGTCGTATTCGTGGCGAATCTCACGTCGCACTCTTCCGCAGAGCATTCCGCCATGTGGGTCTGAGATGCCTGGCGCTGGAGCAAGTGCTCTCGGATCTCGGTTTCCAGCTTCCTCGTCAAGTCCCTGAGGTACAGCGCCTTGGCGGCGAGGCGTTGGCGATACCGATGCATCTTTTGTCGTTCTTTCATGCGGCGCTCGGCGTTGGCATCGAGCCGCGGGGTGGCAGCGCCTGTGGCAGTGTGGTCGACGTGCACCATCGGGTCGCAATGTGCAGAAAATGCACCGAGTGAGTTTGCGACGATGATGGCCGGTCTACGTGGCTTGGATAGGTTGGCTACACATGCCGTATCCTTAGCTGGATTCGAGTCGCGAGTTGCTTGGCTAGTTTGGGCATTTGAATTCTGATTGAATCGGGCTGCAGCCCTGAGCTGACCGCTATGCGACGGCCAGCGCAAACCACGAGCCCGAAAACGAGTTCTGCTAAGCACAACAGTCCTCCAACATTGCGACAAGAGCCGTGGACCGCACGACAGGACAGCCGACGCATGTGCTCCGTCGGGTGAGCCCATGTCTCATTGCATCGTTCGCGCCTGATGTCGACACCAACAAAAGCGCTCCAAAGCACACTGTCTCGAGGACACGTAAATTGCCGCCATGCATCTATATCCGTGGCTGCACAATGATAGCATCTGTCGAGGTCCGAACGACGAGGCGATGACCACACTGGCCAAGAGAGTGAGGCGCGTCGGACGTACACCAACACAGCACCGCCCCCCGCGGTGGTTGAAGCCCCCTCGACGCAAGGTCGGCAGCAGCCACACGGGATCTGCAGCGTGGCGGGATGCGGATCGCACCTCCAAAGTCTTCTTGCTGCGCTGTGTTTTTTCACCGACTGGGGGGAACGTGTACCAGTCAGTCTACTTGGCTATGTCTCTCCGTGATCATGCTGACGACGACACGGGTGACGGTGCAGATGACGAAAACCGGGTCCATGCAGGTGACGATGCGAGTGCCAAAATTTGGCACAAACTGAGGCGGGGCAATTGCCACTCGATTTCTCGGGAGGGGTCGAACTCAAACCTGCACGCAACCGTGCAGTTCCGCCGCCAACCCCCCGGTAACGCGCAGCGGCGGCAACCTCACACGAGTGGCTCCAGCTTACCGGCGGCCACTGGGTGATGCAAAGTGTGACCTGCTTCCAATTTCCTGTGGATGGTATTTCCTCGTCTACACTGTGGGAGGCCTTGTACATACATGGCCGTTGGCAGGGCTTTCACAGATGATGTGGATGTCTCCATTGAAAGGCATGGCGCGTCCTAACGCTGCTGTCGTTGGACTCATCACCATGGCGCGCTACATGTCAGCACGAAACCAGGAAGCACGTCGTGGGGGGGATGGTGGCCGGCGTTCGCTTGATGCCTCGACTTCGCCTCGGTCCGTTTGCAGCGAGATCGCTCAAACCATGGGGCTCTATCGCGGGATGTCCTTTTCATTTATGTGCAAAGATGCCCTCGTGCAACACGAGGAGACGCCCGTGTGACCGATCGCGATGGACTGTCCAGCTATATAAGCGCCGGCGCTGTACCCTCCCCCCCTCACGTAAGCACGCCGATTCTACCCTCAACATTTCGTGCAGCAAGCGTGCGCTGCATTCATGTCTTGCAATGCGTGAGTCCGTTCTGCCGCAAAGCGAGGTACTGCTACATTGGCCACTCGTTGGAAGCATTGCCGCCGCCGCTTCCATGACGTTCAAGTCAGAGGTGGCTCGCATGTTGAGTTTACAAGAGTCGCACGATGGGGGGCATCTGTAGCCAAGTCGACGCCACGAGGAGGAGGGTGGGTTCTTGTCGGATCGAGTTGGGTCGAGTGCTGCTGGCCATGTCGCGCGAAAATATAAAACGCCATCGGCGTCACAACTTAGCCCAAAAACGAACGCACCGCTTGACCCACGGCATCTTGCTCGAGTAAAAACCCGTCGTGGCCGTGTGGCGACTGAATCACGCGAAACGTCGAGTGCGGCAAGTACGCGTGGAGCTGCGCTTGCTCGGTTATGGGATAGATCACGTCCGAATCGATGCCGACAATCAAGACTGGCAGCGCATGGAGCAACTGGCACGCTGCTTCGACACCTGGAAAGACAAAATGCACAATCATACGATCGCAATGGTCTCGTCGGCACAACGCACCGCCTCGGCCACGACCGATGTCGTGGGTGTCCATCATGTTCATGATCGCAATATACGCGTTCGCGTCAAATCGAGAGAGAAACTTCCTGCCTTGGTAATCCAAGTACGATTGCACAGTAAACGTGGACGGGTCGTCGTCAAGGGCATTTCGCCCGAACTTGTCGTTGTAGACGCCGTGGGTTCGGTACGTGATCATGGCGATTTGTCGGGCCAAGGCAAGGCCGCTGTGCGGGGGCGACGCGCTGTCATAGTCGCCGTTGTTGTAGTTTGGATCCTGTCAGTTGAGTCAACGACGTTATACGGAGTTGTTGGTGCGTACTCTATAGATGGCTTGCCGCTGGACTTCGCTGATGGCGATCTGCCATCCCGAGTGCTGGGCTCCGCACGCAATGACGGCTATCTTTTGAACAAGCGCTTGTCCGAGGAAGCCCCATTCGAGGGTTTGCATGCCGCCCAAGGATCCGCCGACGACACAAGCAACCTACACGACCAAACTCAACGCACATTCCAATCGGCTGGACTCACCTGACTCGCACCGATCTCCTCCACAACCAGACGGATATGGAGCCGAACAGTGTCTCGAATCGTGACAGCGGGAAACGACTGACCGTATTGCTTTCCCGTGCGTGGGTTGATGGAAGTCGGGCCCGTGGTGCCATAGCACGACCCGAGTACGTTCGCGCACACGACCAAGTACTTGGACGTGTCGAACGGCTTGCCGTCGCCGAGCAGGCCACCCCACCAAGAATCCAGCGCTGCGTTCCCGGTTAGGGCATGACAGACAAAGAGCACATTGTCCTTGGCGTCGTTGAGCGTGCCAAACGTTTTGTAGTTGACGTCGACGGCTTCTAACGAGACGCCGCTCTCGAGCTCAAAGGATGGGACGTGAAATACTTGTTTGCACGCCTCCATGACGCCATAGTCGTCTTCGATGGCCGGCTTGGCAGGGGTGTCGACGGGAGGCATCGTCGAACGTGTTGCAATCGTTGCGAGTCAAAAAACGTCGACGGCTCGACCGAGCGAGCCGTCTGTGGCCGACGCAACCGCACGCTGGCTTATGATTGGGTTTCCAACGCGACAGGCGGAGTGGCGGAGAGTGGCCAGGCCACTCTCTAAATCCTTCCACTCTCATGCGACAATATTTAAATGCAACTCGTTAGAGAGTGGCCAAGATCACTCTCGATATGCCATCCATCAACCATCCGATCGCACCACCACGGCCAACAAATGCCGCGCCACCACCACATCGCTCGTGCAGAGTGGAGCAACGCCACACCAAAATGCCCATCCTGAACCGTTCTCGAGACTATTCTTTGCTACAATCTCGTTCAAGGAGACAGAAGAGTCGACAATAGATGGCTTCCACACTGTGTCGACACTGTCTTCACCAGGCAAATCCACTACCAGGGAGCTATTGATGGGTAAAATTTTCCTGGTCCAGATGGCATGCCCTGCGTTTCGGCGGCCTCGAAGCATCCGCAACAAATCGACGTGGGAGCGCAGCCACGACATGTTGTCGTGGCACGTACCACACAATCGATCATCGGGTGACTTTGGTGCGAATACACGTACGCTTGCGAAATGTCTCGGCGAGTTGCGCGTGCGTCGCATCGTTGTGCGTGCTTTGACCTCACCGTTTCAGTCGAGTAACTGGCGTGTCGTGTCTCTTCAACCGCCAATCAGACTCTCGCCAGTTTCAAGGATGGCCAATCAAACCATCCAAACCGAGCCTTGGCACTGGCCCACCACGTTTATCATTGAAATGCACACTGCACGTCGACACAACAAATCCGCCTTTTGCATGCACTCAGCCGACTTTCAGTCCGCTGACAAGCTTTGCACAGGGAGCAGTTGCCAGAGTTGCCGCTGGCTAGAGCAAACCCAACACGAGCGCTAAGTACAAGCAGCGCACGCACCTATACTCGCTGGACAACACCAGCGGTTTCACCACGAAGTAGCAGTGGCAGCTAAGTTTAGCCAACCCACCACGGCAAACGACAGTAGTGGCTACATTCGACGCAGCTCTCGACATTGCCGACGTCATGCCCGTCGATATCTTCGACGCGCCGTCGGAGCCGTCCTATGTGAAACCTAGCCATTCGTTTGCATTTGGCGATGGCAAAGCTTCCTCTTCGCGCAAGTCCCGCCGCAGTCGGCACAAGCACAAGACAGAGGAAAATGCATCGTCGTCGACAGCATCCGGTCTGGACTTTGACGACGATCGAGTCGAGTTGTACTCGGGGGCCCGCCCGAATGCGTCCTCGCGACCGAGGCAAAAGATAAACAGTGACAGAGGACAGCTGCGGCAGTCGCGCAGCCGAACAAACTCGTCATCGTTTGCGCACTGGGACGACGGCGACTCGGTGGGGGCAACTGAAACCTCGATCTTGGCCTCGTTTCCATTTCACTCGAGCTCGTTTCAGCCCGACAACAACGACACGCCGGACGTGTACGACTACGACATTAATGACGCCGACTTGACAAAGTACACGTCACCCCCCCATTTTTCCGGTCAGACTCGAACAAGGTCGAACAACCACCGAGGAAACCTGAGCGCTGGCAGCTGTCGAGTCTCTAGAGCAGTCGACGATGACGACGTACGAGCCTTTTCCAGATAGATGCTGAGTTCCGGGAGTTCCCGATGATGTTGGCGAGTAGATCTACGATCGACCACCGTCTCGACAATGCCACGCATTTCCGACCCACTTGGTGGACCAGATGCAATTCGATGACGGGGGTGGCGACGACGGGGATCACCCCCCGGAGGAGGGCCGCCGGTCGGAGACGCTGCTGAAGCGGCGACCACCATCGCGACACAAACACTTGTCCGCGTCGCAAAAGCACATCCACGACGCCTTTCGTGGCTCATGCGAAATCAACGAGCAAAGCGTACGCTGTCTATTTGCAAATGTGCCGTTTGCTAGAACCACCACGTCGACGTCATGCAATTTCTAGTTGGAAGACTCGATCCATCGGTTTCGAACGCGGCGAGAAATGCGCCGACAGAGCCATGACCCGACTCGCGATGGATTTGATCCGGTGGACGAGACCGTGCCTCTTCCCTTTCGAATTGAAGTCACGACACAAAACAATGGCCATGCGACCGGCGGCAATCAAACGCAGAAAGCAAAAAGCACCAGCCGACGTTATCGCGCGAGTGCCACCACCACGCCGATTCCATCCGCAGCCTTCGACGAAATGCGTCGTACACTGAAATCGCGGGCAGAAGACCCCGTGGTCGTCAGGGTGAGTCGACTATTTGCTGGTCTCCACTTCCTCTTTCGGCCGTAGATCGCACCAGATCGCCGGAGCCATCTTCCCCGAGGCGCTGAGCAAACGTTCGTGCATCCTGTGGATCATACTTATTTGCATGACACTGGTGAGCGTAGCCCGTCGCAATGGCTCAAGGACGAGCCCCACCCGTTCTTCGAAAACACATTGGCGGCACAGCTGCCCGAATGGCTCGCAGCGACGTCGTTGTTGCAAATGTATGGACACCATACGATTTCACTTCTCCGTTTTTTCATCGCATGCAGGGACTCTGGCCCAGAGACAAACTCGGACGGCATCCGCTCCGCCGGTTCGGACGATCTCAAGTTGGACGACTTCAACTTTTCCGCGACACCACCGGCGCCGCCCGAGTCGAGCTCGCTGCACACGTCGCTGGGAGTGGTACAGTCCTCCTCCTCTGTGTCCATAACATTGATGGAGAGCTGTCGCGGCAGGATTTTTTGAGCTTGTTTGCTCAGTCGTAGGCACACTAAAAAAGTGTGATGTGGTTCGCCGTAATCACCCGTTGAAAGCACTCTTTACGATTTATCCTTTGAGTTTTGGAGCTGCTGGTAAAACGTCAGTGTGCTCATGATGCTCGCACCAAAGAGCGCCATGAAACTGAGGCAGCCTGCGCAACAAAGAAAGCACGCGAGCTTCCCACATAACTCGGGCCCGAGCTACGACGCCGTTGTATCAGCACTTCAAGGATGAGAGAAAAGATATGCAGGCGCCGCACCAGCTCCTTGAGCATGGAGAACGGATTGGCACTGAATCGAATTCGCCCGACGGTGGGAGGAAGGTACGGGTTGATGTTAGGCTCGTCTCGGCCCGACCCAACCGGCGTTGCCAAGAATTCGACTTCTGGAACGATGTGAATGCACACTCCCAATCTTCCCTGTGAATACACGACTCAGGTCACGCTTCATGTAAAGACGAAACCTGTACCATCGATTCAGATATCCCTGCTTCTCGATTTGTGTACCGCATTTCGAGCCACTCCGAGTCGTCCGAGAGCCGACCCATACCCAGCATGTCCTACGTGTACTGGTCAGATGGCACAATCGGTCGAGCTCAACGCACCAGAATCGACTGAAACGCTTCGTCCTTCTCGTTTGACTCTTTTTCAGCTCTTCGGCGCTGTCGTTCCTCCGGTGTAAGCGTGTCCTTGCTTCGTTTGACTTTTTTCAGCACTTTGTCAAGGTTGTGCTTAATTTTGCCCCCGAGTTTCGTTTTCTTTTTGGCTTTGTGGTCACCGTCCAGCAAAGGTGTGTGCTGTTCGTTGTTTTCGAGGTCAGGGCCGTTGTCGCCGCCGTCGTCGTCGTCTTCTTCGTCCTCCATCACTGCCTCGCCGCCGTTCTACATTGCAACATGTCGAACGTGCCGCGGTTGACATGTCTCTTCTACCTCGCCCATGTACCCGCCTTTGCCAGCATTTTGCTCCTTGAATGGGCGCACAGTTCGCCTTTCATGAAACGATTTGTAGATCCACTTGTACAAGTCCAATTGAGCCTCGCCTGGACCGCGCGCTCACAGTGAATATGACATGCAGCTCATTCGTTATACCGATCAGGTCGTTCCATTTCGCCAAGTCTTTGTCCCACAACTGAATCGTCAACCTGCCAAACTCGGGTTTCATGGGCATCTGCACAACAAACTTGAGGCGGTAGTTCCAACTGCCTTTGCCGGTCGAACAGCGCCAGTGTGTGTCCGTCGTTTGCGGCTTCATTCCTTCCATCCATACTTTTACAAACAGATCGTTCATCGTGTTCATCTACAGGCAACCATTGCTTCTCCTTCGATCGAGATACGCGACGACGACGAGTCGTAAACGTACATCTCGATCGGTCACGCCTTCAGACCGCCAGATCACCACACGAACTTCAAACTTCTGCGGCGGTGGCGGCTCGATATTGACCACCTCGTACAACGCGGCTTGGGCAGGAGTAAGAATGTCGACCCATAGTTGCAACGACCCCTAAATGCAGATAAAGGCATGGCCTTTTCAATGGTGTTGAAGCATTGTTCACCTGGGACGTCGACTCTTTGCCTGTCCACAAGTGCCGGTGTTCGATGGGCTTCAAGGTCCCGGACCCATCCAACTACGTAAATCGATAGTGAGCAGAGCGCATTGCCAAACGCAGCGTTTCTTTCGTTGGGTACTTGTGGATGCTTGAAACCAATGTCTTGCCACGCTCGGTGATACCACCGATCCTCCAAGTCAATAATTGTTTCCCCGATGAAATCGTCGGTGCCGATGCGATCATAATCCCAGACTTGAATCGCCAACTGGGACGGGCCTACCAAAAGTCGCTGAGTGTCGCATTGGGTGCTCGTGTCGTACCTGGAATGGTCGTGTCAAATACGTAGCACTTATAAAAGTCGGGATTGAGTGTCTTCTTCTTGTACGCGAGGCGGTCGTTGAAGCGGGTCTTGCCCAGAGTGAGGCGCAAGTACGGATCGCTCAGACCGTTTCGATCCTTTGGCTGCAAGTTGGTCGCTCGAAGGACGTACACGCGGACTTCGTACGGCTGGGGATCGGTCAACGAGACAAAGTCGATGAGCGGGTTTGTCTTTTGCGGCTTCAACGTCACGGCGACCAACCCTTTAAAAATTCCCGTTTGAACTTGGACTTTAGTCTTCTTCTTCCGAAAGAAGGACGGAATCATCGTGTGCGCTCGGAAAAGCGGATATGACTCGAACGGTGCTGTTTTTAAAAAGTCCTCGAGCTCTTCGCCGTGGGCCTATGACGCAACGGCCACATTACGTCGATGAAGAGAGACTGGATGCAGTGATTACCTTGAGCCACCAATCGCGACCGGTGTAGTACGCGGGGCTGTCGACAGCATGGACTTCCTCGGCGTTTTGAACCGATGACGACATGGCGTTCGGGTCCGAGATGTAGTACACTTGGCCCTTCTTCTTGGCGTCCTCGACGGACGCAAATAATCGCCGATCTTCCTCTTGTTTGACTTGCTGCAGCACAGCTGGGTCTTCTTTGGACTCAACCGAGGCTTCGAACGACACGGGCGGTAACGCTAACACTCCAATGCCAGTCCCATCGTCATCATGAATCGCCGGTGGCGACACTTCGTTAATCTAAGTGGATGTGATGAGCTGTTTCACAGGAAGATCGCGAGGCACCTTCACGTCGTCGTCTTCTTCGTCGGAATCGGCAACGCGGTGGCGCGGTGGATGTGACGCTTCATCTTCTCCATGGGGACTTTCGCTCTTTGTCGCATCTTCGCCCAAACCAATAGATACAATCAGTACCTCAATACAGGTTGAAGAGAATAACACCATCTCACCTTCACTCGTCGCGTCCTTTTCAATATCGGCAGGCGCACCGACGGCCGTCTCTAGTGTGTCTTTGAGTTGCTTTGCCCGTTTTTTTTTGCTCCGTTGCTTGGCGAGGTCAAGGTGGTAGTCGAATTCTTGTTGCTGGGGTGGTTCGTAGCTTGGACTCCATGGTAACTTGTGCGTGAGATCGATCACGCACGATGCAATGAGCGGCTGATGGAGACCCGCCAGCGTGCTGTCATACACCTACGGCTTGCCATTAATATAACTACTTCAGCCATGTTCACAAGCACGAGGCACAGACCTTGAGCACTAATTGCGGCGCAAACAAAACGTCGATGGGAAGGCGGGTGGGAATGACGAGGCGTTCGAGAAAATTGGCGTTCTTGCTAGTGGGCTCGTGGCTGGCCTTTGTCCGTCGCTGAATGTTTTCCCCGCTCGAGTTAAGCCCCGTCAGCTCGAATTCGACAAATGGATTCTACAATTCACATGGTCAGCGCCACGACGACGTGTGCACGTCGAAAAAGACCCCACTTGAATGTGCATCAAGTTGTTACTCTTGAGATTGCGCACGCCGAGCGCAATTATGTCGACATACGCTTCGCGGCACTCGGGCACAATTGATGGAAGTGTGGCTGACCGATCTTCGGCCGTCGGGTGCTCGATAAACTGCACGGACACAAGTAATTGCCCCGCAGGGACTGCTTCCTCAACCATATCCGTCTTGGTCAGGTTTACCCACGATGGATATGGCACGGTCGATGCCTTGGAGCATTTGGACAACGGGACGCGGTACTCGCCCATGTATTTGACATTGTTGTATCCAACCTTGTTGACGACCTGCACACACTGTCACACGCATAGAAACTCTGACGACGGCACCTGCAACCAGACTTCGCCGGCATACTCGGTTTGCGCTGGTATCGTCGTTTCAAATTGCAACGACTCGTAGTAGAGCGGATCCAGCGTGCGGTTGCGCGGCTTTGTCTTCTTGACGACACCGTTAAAGTGCACTTGAACGAACGGATCGGGCAGCGCGCCTTTCGACTTTAGATTGTCGATGACAAGCCCTTTGCACTGAAACACGTGCACTCGCACCTATCACGGATTCGATTCAAGGCCACTAGGTTGAGTTCGGATGCATCAGTACGAGTGCAGGGATCGTTGTCGTGACAGAGCTGGCATCGTTCGCCCACACCTGCCTCGCTGCAACTTCTTCTCGCCCCAACGCCACGCGCATCAAGAGCGATCCGGGATATTGGCCGACGGGAATGTTTCCTTTGCGGCAAATTTCTTCTCGCAAATGCAGCCACGACACACCAGGCTCCATCCCCTTGGCCACAATTTCTCCCGCGCGCAATCGAGCGAACGAGACGCCGACGGGGTCGTCGGTTTCGGCGGTGTCCTTGCACAACGTGACAATGATATCTGGCACTTGCGTAAAGTCGGACGCGAGAACGATGTTTTTCACCTCCTGCGTCAATCCCCATACAATGTTGCCATGTCTACAGGAGAAGCGCATTGTGCACATGTCCTTCAATAATGGACTTGACGGCGTACTTGGCGGTGTTTGCTTCGAACCGCATTTCATGAGGCCCGATCGACACGACGACAAACAACCGAACAGGCAGCCCAGTCTTGGATCGCACCGTGGGCAAGTCCTGTCCCGCGAGAAGACTCACACGCAGGACGTAGCGAGTCGTGGGTGGCTTTAATGCCTCCCAGTCTTCGTCCTCGACTTCTCGAACAAAGAATCGATCGCTGTCGTCTGGATTCGGTTTCGTTACGTGGGCAAAGCTGACCAAAACACGGCCACGATACGTCGAAGCGTGATCGGGATACTTTTTCATGATTTCACTCGCTTTCGCGTCCACGTGCTTTATCGGTGGGCCGTACAAGTTGATGTACCGCAGCGGCACGTCACTAGCGCAACGCGTGTCAGTGGCTTGGTCAAGCAACTTGTGCACCACGCTAGAGCTGCACGTTTTCTTGCCCACTACATCCTTCGATCCCACGCGAAAAGGATGCACTCATGTCGACGACAAAATCACCATGCTGCCCATCCAGTTCGAAGCTCCCGCCGCAATACATTTCAAACATGCTGCACTGACCGCAAGTAGACGAGGTTGGACGAGTCCGCCATGTCGTGATGTACTTCAGGGACCGATCGAAAATCATACGTAACGGTGCCAACGACGTCGCTGGATCGGCCAAACTCTCGATCGCGGAGGCTGAGCGAGATCCGGCGACTCATCGTAGGCATCATGACTGGAATCCACAACTCTTCGTAGAATGGCACAGTCAGATTGCTTGTGCCTTTGACTGTGACAACGCTCGACTTGCACTTGCGATTTCCGGCAAAGTCGACTCGTACGAACCCGTCGATGCCAATGCCAGACGATGACACAATGTGTCCGTCCATCGGCGGCACGTCTTCAGCGACGTACACTGTCACAACGAGAAAATGAACGTGTTGTTCAACCGCAGGGGGGAGAAGGAGCATGGACGGTGACTCGACTAGGGTCAAGTCGACCGCAGATGTTGTCGTCGTGTCATGGACTGGAAACGATTCCCCCGGGCCTACCATGGCCAAACTCAGGAGCAGAAAGCCCTACACAAAGCAACAGTGGAGATGTCGGCTTTCGACCCATGGAAGGGCACGATAACGAAATAGCAGGCGCTCATCAAGTGCCATTCACGTGCACAAGCACCCAAATCGATTGATCACGTGCACAAGTCGACCGTACTTGGATGCCGCTGTCGTCTTTGTTTTTGTAATCGACGAGAGCGACCCATTGTCGGTACATTTCACGTTTTGGCTAGCAAATCGCATGAGAGCGGACATCAAAGCAGTCCAAGAGGGTGACTGGAACGCATACTCGGCAGTAGATGGACATTACGTCGAATTGATACGTTCCGATAATAGTGTTGGGACGAACGATGTTTCGATCGTAGAGCGATACCTGCCACACGTGAGTGCCGCTGGTTGCCGTGGACGAGCATGAAATTTGGCACAAGGAGGATTCGTACGTTGATGGTGGCTGTCTCCAACTCGTCTCGGCCGATGCCGTGGAAATGGAAAAACATGATCTCGTCAAAGACACACGAGAGCGCCTTGAACTTGGCGTGTGTCTTTTGGCGCTTGTCCAGCACTTCAACGTAGCAGATCGGGTCAGAGGTCCCGTCAAACTACAGATCCCGTTCAGTACAAGCACAGGATCGATGGGAAATCGTACGAATTCGCCCTTGATGTCGCGGGCCTCGATGATGTGTGCCTGAATCTGGTAGTCGCCCTTGGGGATGTTGGACATGATAGCTTCTTGGCGCTGCTTCTCCTGCCATTCGAGCTCTTGTTTCCTCAACAACGCTTCTTCCTCGGTTTCGTCCTGCTGGACTGCAACGCCTTCGCCGTCCCCTGTGTCCCAGACAACGACAGCATCACCCCCGTCACCCATTCCGCGATCTTCTGCTGCGACACCCTTGCTGTGCAGCATAACAGCGTCGTGTTCGCGCTCATAGACTAGGCTGACTTTGAGTTCGAGCTCTCCGAGTGGTTTTTCACGAGCTTCCCACGCCTTGTCGAGCAAGGGAAACATGCGTGTGCATCGCATCATGGGTTCCTGTGCAATGTCCGATGCCACAATGCGAACATGGCCCACGAATCTCTTCTTGATGTTGACTTTGTCGGCGACAGTTATTGTGCACGTCGTGAGCAAGTCGGGGCTGCGAAACGAAAACGTCTACCACCAAAACGATGACCCCAAGACGACAAGGTGAGCGATGTGACATGCCTCGTTCCACGTCGGATCGAGCGTCTTGGCCTTGAGCTTTGTCTTATGCTCAAAACCACCGCAGGAGAGTTTGCAGTACAGACTTGTCGTCGACCGGAGTGCCGCCATGGCAACACCGCGGGCCCGGATCACCGTGATCCGAAGAGTGTTTGGAGGTTTCGTGCCTTCTGGAATGTCTTCTGCCTCATATAACCTGATCGGAGGAGCGTTCGAAGGTGCTTTGGACGCTGCCGCCGCCGTCGTAGCCGACGCCCTCGACATTTGCGCGCGGAACTGTCGATGTCGGTTGGACGGATGGATTAAATATCCTCAAATTTGTATGTGCATACAATTACCTCGTGAGAAAATCGAACAACCCATACAAACCTTCAATAAATTATATTTGCCTTCACCACAAGACCCGTGTATCCGTTGAAACCCCATGGACACACTTTGCTCAGGTTGTTTTGAGCCTTAACAAACAGCTCGCGGTGCGGTCCCAAGTCAAACAACATCGCAATGCTTAAAGCGTCAAAGCGCAAGCAGATGCGCGCAAAGAACCATCTGTACCTTGAATTTTTCCTCGTGCTCTGTAGCATTGGATATTTGGCGAATTTGCAGAACGAGTAAGCCATTAAGTATCACAGGTTTTGAACCCTCACATCGAAAAGCAAATCGCTCCAAGTGTCGCGCGATGTGATGTGGTTTCGGCAAAGCGAACGTGGACAGCTCACAGCGTTTTTGTCATCCGCGAGGAGGGCACTCCGCAAGCGCGATATCACTGACGACCGCGGACTCGATGCGGGTGCATTGGCATCTGACAGTCACGACATTTGCATAAAAGAACACCATGGCGACCTGGGGGACAATGGAGGCCGCACGCGAGAAATGCAATTCACCTTCGGAGTTCGGTGCACCCTGGTTGGGCCATTTGTGGTGCAGCGGCCGGGCATATCTACATCATGGGCCGCATCGTGCAGCAAACATGGACGAATGCATACTTTCCCGAACATGCATGTGAGTGTGTTGACCAACGATCCCAAGAACGAATGGATGGTCCATCCGCAAGCACGGCGACGGTGACGAGAACGAGCTAGCCCCACCGCAGCGCCCTCCAGTCTCACTTTGGTTTTTCCATTCCTTGTACCATGCTGCGCTCCTTCACTGCTGCCATCTTCGCGATTGGGTTGTCGCTCACGGCGTCGCCCGCGTCGGCTTCCGTCGGCCTGTGCGCCACTAATAAGCCGTATTCATACTCGGTAGCCAAGACGCAATACCCGCACTTGAAGTCAGCCATTGAAGCCGTCGAAGCGCAGCCCATTGCGACGTGGTACACGGATCGCTCGCAAGATGCTAAAACGCAAGTCCAAAACGTTGTGAGCAAGTGCCCCGCTGGTGAGTACCTTTCCCTTTGCGTTGTATCGCACATCTCTCCATGGCTGGCTCTGTAGGGGATCGCCCCACCGTGGTGGTTTACGGCTTGCCCAACAAAGACTGCGAAGGCCACCATTCTTCTGACGGGAGCAACAAATCGACAGCCGACTACGCTGCGTTTTTGGAGTCTCTTGTGGCTGCCGTGGGCAACAACGACGTGATTTATATCTTGGAACCCGACGCAATTGGTCTCCTTGCAGGCGGATCCGAATGCGCTGTGACGAACGGCTACGAAGCCAACTTGATTGTGGCGTTGGGCATTTTGGGCAAGAACCCCCGCGCCGACATTTACGTGGACGTTGGGTACTGGGTCTTGGGCGGCCAAAGCGACGCCAAGATTGCAGCCGTCTTGGCCAAACTTGACCCCACCGGCAAGCGGCTCAAGGGCATTTCCATCAACACGTCAAACTTTCGGTCGACGGACGAGCTCGTCCGCCTCTGTAGCACGTTCTCCGCAACGGCGAAAAAGACCACTGGGCTCGCTGCCACGTGCGTGCTGGATATTTCTCGCAATTTCCAAGGCCCGGACCCAAACAGTCAATGGTGCAACCCCAAGGGCCGTGGCATTGGTCGTCCCCCGGCCGTCCATCCTGCGGCATACCCCCTCATTGACTACTTCTTGTGGATCAAGCCCCCTGGTGAGAGCGACGGCACTTGCAATGGCGGCCCGAACGCCGGCGCATTCTTCGCCGAAGGTTTTGTCGACTTGTGGAACAAGGGGTACTTTGTCAGCGTCGAAGGTCAGCCTCAAATCAACATCACGACCGCTTGATGCAGTGTGGAGACCAGTGTCTGCACGTCACATAGTACACCCACAAAAAATACACCTCCGCCAACATAACTCTTCAATGATGTGTATCTTTTCTGAAGGCTACGTTCACTGCTTCCACGAGCCTTGACAACCAGATAGCAGCGACGGGGTACAACAGAGCAGCCTTGACAAGCCATGCGAACATGAACGGGCCATGAGCAAGCGCGAACCTCTCGACGTATCACCCACGGGCAAAGGCAGCGTGCGTGGAAGTCGGTCCGATTCGGAAGCTAGAGCGTACAAAGTCATTCGCTTGGTTTCATTCACGCACCCTTGTATTCAGTACGCGTGCTATCAATTGCGTCGACATCCACCACCCCATGGCACACCCATGATGTCCCAAACCCTCTTCACCGAGGCGGCACTGCGACAACTTTGAAGGCTTGGTACGGCATGGGATGACCTGCCGTCGGTGGCGATCTCTTGGCCGACATGCCCATACATCCAAGCGTACCAGGTCCGAATTACACTGTGTTCGGTCGTTGCGGTCGACAGATAGCTCCTCGCAGCATGGTCCAAGGTCAAGCTCACCGCTGACTGCCATCCTCACGACCTTGCCAGGGCCGCTGGGTGGGATGATAGCTTGGTCGATGTCTATGGCGCCGATACGTGTTGTCAGCGGAGAGGTGGTCCATCGACGAACGGGGCGGGGCTATGGCATGAGAATACCGTATCGTTTATTTCCTTTCAGATAGATGATATCTCACAACCAGTTGACGTCGACAAGGATATTTTCAAAGTATTTTTCAACGTGAAGGTACTCTTTGAGAAAAATCATCGATTTCGCGGACCCAAAGGGCACCAGAGCCATCCGTACAGGCCAACCGTTTGCATCCTTCGTGGTGGGTCATCATCGATCGATCGGGTCGTCCCCGGTGCTTCCTCATCACGTATCGTTTATATCCGTGGAGACAGGTGATATTTCGCGCTTGGTTGACAAAGAAGGTTCCGCTGAGAAATACACATGTCAAGAATATCTTTGAGAAAAATCAGAGATATGTTGGCATGTCATTTTGCACATTTTGATGGAAACGAATACAAACGACAAGGTATTTATTTATATACACAACAACGAACGCCACTTGTCGCATCTCCTCGACGCGGACATCGTGCTTGCCCACGCCTGAAAGCCGCCCACCTGCTTGTTGTTCGACGGGTCAAGGCAGGCGAACCCAGTGTATGTGGGAGTGGTTGGGCTTACCTGGGCATTGCTGAGTCCGGCCCGCCGACCCCGAACGCAGCCGTGGTAACGAATGGATTGGCCTCACGTGTCAAATCGGATATTCGAGGCACTGGGGATTTGTATGGAGGTGCCAACGGCACAAATTGTGGGTGCGAACTCGGCCGTGACCCAAGGGGAATCCACCCACGTCTTGTCGTACGAGGAGCGCAGGCATTACGGTGGGGCCACCGCGGGGTGGACAGCATGTTCAACGCACTTTTCGATTTTCGACCGACCGAGCACAGTTGTGCATGATGGCCACCGTGTGCCAATTCAAAAGGTGTGGTCGTCCAGCTCTCCCCGGCGCAGTCAAGTGCGAGTTCCACAAGCAGCGGAGCATGTGCAGCGTTCGGGACTGCCGCAACCAAGTCTTTGCCCGCAACCTCTGTGTGCGCCACGGCGGCAAAAAAGCATGTGTGCATGAAGGGTGCCAGGACAACGTCCGGGTTGGCGACCTCTGTGGTAAGCATGGCGTGGCCACTTCACGCAAATTGTGCATCCAACCAGGGTGCGATAAGTTTGCTCAAACGAAACAACGATGCTCGACGCATGGGGGCGGCCAGCGCTGCAAGAACGTCGGATGCTTTGCCCATGCCCGACGAGGAGGATACTGCACACGACACAGCTCGCGCAGCAGCCGACTCAACAACATACTGACCATCGACGATGCTTCGTCCTCCTCGACGGCGGAAGATCCGTTGATAGAGGTGTCGACGCGAACCGCGTGCCCCCCGTTCGTGCTATTCCATAAGTTCCAAGGCACAGCGAACAAACTCAGTCTCAGCGGCATCTTGAACACCGTTCGAGCCAGCGATGACCTCTAACAACAATGAACCGCATATTTAATCGTCCACCCCAGGTCGAGGCCAATTCGTCAAGATGAGTGACTGTTAATGATACGTCGACAGCTTTCAACGTGAAATTTCTTGCCAATCTTTGATATGCTGTTACGAGAGAACTGCGGGAGCCCCTTGATTCTCCTCGAAGGTCCTCCATGACTCTGTGGGCCTTGTGCGACGACATGCCATCCATCACAACTGCGGCGAATGAACCTTGTAGTATGCATTTGTCACCTTGTTGGTCTCTTGCCCCCTTCGGCCGAAGGAGCGCCACTTCACCGAATGAAAGCCCCGAACCTGGCAGAGCCCCAAAAAGGATGGTGCCGTTCCATCCGAACAATAGTGCATGGCGCCCCGAACAAGCGGGGGGCGGTCGAAGCATTCCAATGAACATGATCCGAAGGGCAAGTTGTTCAAGAGGTTCATGGGGCTTTCATTCAGTGAGGAAGGGTGGAGGCTTGCGAGTCAGGTCGCCATAGCACCAAGTTGAGCGTCACAATCCCGTGTGAAACAACTAAGACACGAACTTGGTCAGAGACATGAATTTGGCAGAGTGTCGCGCGTTTCAAATACGTCACCAAGTCGATTGCGGAAATTCGTGGCCGACACCTCGTAGTGTACCGCCGTCACATTGGGCATATCAAAACGTTGAACGTGGCTGATGCTGAAGCCGACAAGTTCAGCGAGGGCTCACATCGCATAGCGTTCGATTCTCCCCACTCCCCCCTGCCAAGTCGGACATCGAGGGGCAGGTTACAAGGACTGGACTTGGTCGAAGAAAACCTGAAGCAAGAAGGAGGAAGGGTTGGAGCATCACAAACTTTGAGGATTGCCCAATCGCCCGAGATGCACCAACAGTGGCGTCGCGGGCCTACCAAGGACGTAATGCTTGTAAAACGGCCCTAGGAGTCCTTCAAGAATCAGTATAATCCAGACTCATGTCGCCAACATCGCATAGCATCCACGACGCCCATTCGTCTCGATACTGCATTCATAGACACTTCGTCACGGCGCTGAATCCATCCTTTTTCACCGCACATTCAAGCGCGGGGGCTGAGTTGCGTCATACCTGATTCACGTCGGTCCATTGGCGTCGCGATGGACTAGTTCTGGTCAGTTGAGGCGCGTAAGTCGAAGGTGAGCCATGGGCCGAGTCACTCGCAACACCCTCACCTTGAGGGGGTCCCTCTGGCAAAGGCAATGCACACTTCCGAGACAACTCTTGTGGGACAATCATGTTTAGATCAAGATCGACCTCTTCTCACCAACGCGCCCCGCCCCCTCACGTGAATTCGAGTGCCACATCTGCTGTGATGGTTCAGAGCTGTCTCACATTCAGTAACATTCATGTAATCTCCGATCCAGACATTTCATCTGCTATGAGAAGTCCCGAGGACAAGGGGTGCCCACCGCTACGACCAACGCGGGAACAAGCGCTTGAGCGAGTTAGCCCCATTCGCACATCTTGGCGATGCTCAGAGGCTCCAGAGACGTACCAATCGCGCGACAGAGAACCTGGGCCTGCATGGACCAAAGCAGTGGGAGGACATCCTGCTTCCTCGATCTACCTGATGGAACGCGCGAACGAACGTGCTATGTGCACCGCACACTCCATTGCATCCATGTGTGGCAAGACCATGATGAAAAGAGTCTGGATTATACTGACTTTTGAACGACTTCGACGGCCGACGTACAACGACACTCGAATAGAATCTCGACGCTTCGTTGGAGGACATCGCGACGCTTCCTTGGACGCATCGCAGTAGGCATTCGTCCATGTTTGAGTTGTGCCATGGTTGGGCTGCACCAAGTCCAGCCCTCGAACACTGCCTTTGACGTTTGGTTGCCGCAGGGACCGAACGGCATGGCTGAGAAACTCCGACGAAGCGTTGAATCCACACCACGACGTTTGGGACAACAAACCGTCGCTCTACCATCTGACGCCGCCCTTGTCACAACTCCATGACTACGTGCATAGACGGCTTCTGCATGCAGGGGTTGGACATCGCGCCGCGGTCGGCCCTGTCGCAGCTTTACAATCCCGCGTGCATCGGTCGTCCGGTTTCCCTCCATGTTAATGGCTATGGGTTGCTTCGCGATAAACGTAACCAAACATCACCCAGCCATGACACTTTGCACCGGCTACGACATCTTTCCCGTGCGACCACGGCGCGCGCTGCAGTCGACTAGCCATTGCGGACGACCGTGTCTCGCCAATCATCCGAAAGTACAAGGAATACACATTCGAAACACCATCTGACCAGCTCGGTGTGTCGCGTTCCTGTCTGCGAAAGTGTGTACCCTCCATCCCTCCTGGTCATGCCGCGCCCCCCTCCTCTGTGCCATACCGTCTGCTGAATCCGACGAAATTATTCACGGCGCCCTTGACTTTACGGCACGGGTGGTGCCACCGATCGAAGTCAGCGTCATTACAACATTTATCGCAGTCCCACCACGCCACATGATGTTCCATCTCCCGACGTGCTACTTCAAGGGGTGTGCTCGCCCGACCGTCGAGGGCGCCATCAAGTGCGAGTTTCACAAACAACGGTCGATTTGCCTCGTCCAGGATTGCCGGAACCAAGTCTTTGCGCGTAACCTGTGCGTCCGCCATGGCGGCAAGAAAACGTGCGTGTATGAAGGGTGCCACCAGAACGTTCGTCTGGGTAATCTCTGTGGCAAGCACGGAGCCGGGTCCACCCGCAAGTTGTGCGTCGAAGACGGGTGCACCAAGTTTGCTCAAACCAAACAGCGGTGCTCGGCCCACGGTGGGGGGCAGCGCTGCAAACTCCCAGGCTGCTCCACCCACGCCCGTCGTGGAGGCTTTTGCACTCGCCACACAAACCAAGTCACCCGGCCCTCGCTCCGCGTCGCGGCCACCGCCAACATCGCTCTCGACAAGTTTGCCGCGTACTCCAAGATGAATCTGCACGCCCTCCTCAACCCCGACTCCCCATAGACGCTGTAAACAAAATCCCATATTTATCTTGCTCAAGATGAATCGCTCGCAGCCTCCATGAGCAGGCTGTCTTGCCCAACAGCATGCTCTCACTCACGATCCCGGAAATGACGTGCCACGGTGGGGTTGCGAGCCATCATAGCCACACAAAACCTGAGATGGTGGGGAGTCGAGCCGACGTAGCGTGCGCCGTACAGTACTCTTGGCTCGGGGTTTGCCCACGCGATCTCCCGTTGCGAATCGTGCGCGCAGCCGTTGGGCGTGAGCCCCCATGTCAACCACAAGGTTCGAACCACGTCGCCGAGCTGTCGATGGAGCGACGACGAGTTGGTCGCCGACGATAAATCGATGGCGATTTGCTAGTGATGTCCAAGTCTTTTTCCAATTATCCGGATGCTGTACGGATGCAACCATTCGCCATTCCTCCGCCGACTGTGCGCGCGATGCGGCCGATTCTGCTCGACTTCGACGCAACGACCGTCACGATCTTTTGGGAGAACACCGGGGCGGAAAAGTTTGACGTGCAGTGGAAGAAAGTGCTGGACGAAGGATGGACCTCACTGTCCCTGTCGAGCTCGCTGATGAAGAAGAAAAACATGGAGGTGGGCACGATGTACCATTTTCGAGTCAAGGCGGCGGACGCTTCGTCGTATGACGATCCACTCGAGTGGACGCACCCGGAGGTGGGATTGAACCAGCTTGCCGCACCGCAAGTTGTCATGGCATTCATGCCAAACGACGTGACGCTTCTAAGCGCGACGTTGCAGTGGAAAGCGACAAACGCGCCGTTCGTGGTCGAGTACCTCATCATGGACGGCGTTTCGGACTGGATCACTGCCACATCCTCCGCGAGCTCGACTGCCATGAAGAAGAACAACATTCCATACAAGTCAACTCCGTACGCGTTTCGATTCCGTCCGACTGCATCGCCGGTGTGGAGCCGCGCTGCAGGTCCACTGCTGCCCCCCGTCGCCGCAATCGCGCTCACCCGTGCGATTGCCCCGACGTTGCTCACTGCCTCTGGCAGCAAAGTTGCGTCACCATCCCTTGGGGGAAAGGTGATTGGGTTGTACTTTAGTGCGCACTGGTGCGGGCCGTGCCGCCAGTTCACGCCCATGTTGGCCCAGTTTTACCAATCGATGCAACAGCTTGGCAAACCGTTCGAGGTCGTGTTCGTGTCTGCGGATCGATCGCAGCGAGACTTTGACGGATACTTTCGCGAGATGCCGTGGCTGGCTGTCCCGTACGACAGCGAAGAACGGGAAGCGCTCGAAGCACGCCACGAAATCCGAGGCATCCCAACCTTCAAGATCATCAATTCCCAAGGAGCAATCGTCGACGGAGACGCGCGCCAACGACCTCTGAACGCAGCAACGTTTGATGCATGGTATGCGCAATGCTACCGCACATAACTAGACGAAAGCACATCCGTCGCGCGTGCCATGAATGCCTTTGTGTGTTCCGTCGTGGCCTCGAGTCGCATGGCTGCATCAACGATCTCCTTTACTCCACTGCAAGCGCTCCCTTCTTGGGGCACAGAGATGTCGTGAGGTTTCGTGTCGAGTATTCGTCGAACCTCATTGGATAAAAATTCACAAGATCGACCAATCACAAGGCAAGAATTAAAATAATGGAGACTTCAATCGTGTTGGTTGAAGCCTGTTTCCAACGCGACCGACGGCGACGCGGACGCAGGCGGACGAGCTGAGATCATGTCGTTGTGGTGGCCATCGATGGCCTTGTGGGCCCGCCGTGGCGCGGGGGGCGGTGGCACTTCTCGCGGGTGGTAAGTGTACAGCGTGGAATACGGGTTACTGTCATGTGGACGTTGATCGAAGTGGTTGGTTGATGGATTTCCGTCGTCATGGCTGAATATGCTGCTGTCGCCGTCAGTGTCCTGGAGGTACTGGTGCTGCCTTTGGATATAACCGTACTGGGATTGATCAAGCGTGGGAATGCCTCGCTTGGGACCGTCCTGAGGGTATTGGCCATACGACGCCTCTGGATGTTGGTACGGAGAGGGAAATGGTTGACGGGCCGCAGGTGGATGTCGGCGGCGGGAATCGTACGGGCGTTGGTACGGCGGCAGCGAAGGAAATTGGTCGTGGTTTGAATGTGGTGGTGGTTGCTGCCGTTGATTCGGTTGTGCGGGCATGTAAGCGCCAGCGTCGTACTGCACAAACTGTTGCTGCTGCATCGACACGTACGGATTCACATACGTCGGCTCTCTCGGCGGAACACGCGCCGCCGCGTTGCGGCGCAGATCGTACGCACGTCTAGGCATGTGGTGACCCATTCGCTCGGGGGGAAAACTTTGCAGCGGCGGCGGGTCATACGGGTTGTCATACGTCGACTGGGGCCGGTACTGCTGCTGGTGGTTCTGTGGCGTCGCGTCCGGGTGCATCATCGAGACTGGGCCGGCACGTTTTACGTAGTTGCCTTGGTGAAAACTCACGAGCGATTCCGAGTAGTTGGACATGTCGTCCTTGAACACGGACTGCTGGTCATCGTCGCACGTCGACTCGGCGCCACGGGGATTGTGCTGGGGAGGTTCCGGCAGATGGAGCTGCATTGGCATTGCAGTAAACATGTCATCCTTTCGCAGGGTAATGACGTTCGAAGCGGGAGGCAACCGGTGCTGCTGGCGTTGTTGCGGGGTTGTGGGGCCACCTCCGAACGGCGACAACTCAACGTGCAAAGGCTTGAACATTTGCAACGACTTGCCGCCGTTGGATGACGTGGACTGTGTCGAGTCGTCAGCTATCGTGAGACCCGACAACTGCCGACCCAAAGCTTCCTTTGCAGGTGGAGAGTGCGGCGGTGACACGCCCGGGGCATGGTTTGTCCACATAGTTGGCAAGGGATAGCGGGACTGGGTCCGCGGCGTTTCGTTCGGTTGGGAATCGGCTTGGTCGTCGTTCGGGTCATCGACAATCGTGTTGGCGTCCGTGGGGGGCTCCATGTTGTCGCATGAGCACGCCGTGCATACCCGGCGTTTTATGACGTTTCCGGCAATGCGAATGTCCCACATTTGACTGCACCGCCGGCACACGACCTCGCCGCACTTGCGACACTGACCCTTTTTCGAGAACGCGCCAAACTTGCGCTGGCACACAAAACACTTGCTGCGGCTTTCCTTGGGCACGAGCTCCGCTTCGTGTAAGAACGTGCCTTGTGACAACCGCTTCTGTCGGAGAAACATGTCCATGCCTTTTATGATACGACATCGACGCTTCATGCCGACGTCGACGAGGACGTCGGCCATTTTGCCCCGCAGGTCCGCCTGGATCAACTGCGACACTTGGAGATATCCTGGTCGACTGGACTGGAGGAAGCAGTACCCTGATCGATGGTGGATGCCGCGAACGAGACCGAGCGAATTTTGCAAGTCGGGACAGCACGACAAGTTGACCGACTTGAACGCGCGAGTCCACCCATGCTTTCCATCCAGTTCAAAGTCGTGTTGGGTCTACCGATGGGCGGCCTTTATCAGGCATGCAGGGACGACGACGTGTTGGCGCAGTACCTCGAGGAAACACCAGTCCCGTGGTTTGGCGATCCTCGGTAGTGGGCTCTCGATGGCGAACCATTTGATCGCGACTGAATGATGGGGATTCTCTGCCGTCCTTCGACGCAGTGTGTACAGAATTTGTCCGTCCAATACGTCTTTCATGAACATGCTGCAGTACTCGTGGTACTCTTCCGACGTGTCTGTGCGGAATAGAGCAACGACCTCGTCGATTGTTGCCATGACTTCGGCCACGCCGAGCCACGAGACAACTCCAGGAGGCGCATCCGGGTCGTCCCCTTTGTAGATCTGCATGGTCGTATCGTCTGACTTCAGCGTCCACTTGATCGGGCCGCCCGTCACCCGCGAGTATCGAACCTGTTCAACATGGTCAGTTCGTTTCTAGCGCACAATCGAATGGGGGATGCACACCAGATCCATCGAGATATCGTCAGCATTCTTCAGCAGTCGAGCGGACTCTTCCACATTCAGTGCTGGGCACCGAAAGAAGTTGGGCGGCAAGGGGAACTTGGACATGACCGCCGCAGTCACACGCGCTGCTCGATCGAAAGTGCCAACCTGACTTGCAGTAATGAGTTGCCTCGCGTTCTCTACGTGTCTTTAATCCATGAGACACGTCAACCAGGTTGTCGAGGTTGTGTGCAGGACATCTTCAAAGTGCATTCATCATTGACATCGCGACGGCGCACGTCGGCATCTTAAGAAGAATGCAAGGCACCATGGGCGCCAGACTTGTTGGCGCTGCACATGAACTCTTCCTCACGTTCTCGCCAACATGCCACCAAAGTCCACTGTAGACATCCATGTTTCAAACGCGTTCTAGACGTTTTTTACAATTGCAACTACAATAAAATTGGCCACGGGTATACAATTACCTAGATAAGTGTAGAGATTGCCCGGCCACATGGTGCTGTATGAGAGAGTATATATAAATTGCAGAAGCTAATTGTCGAGGTTGATTGGTGTTTTCTCGTGCAATTCGGCGGTATAGACTGATTTCATTGGTTAAAACGATACAATTCAAATTCAAAAACAAGTTGTCAAAACCGCAACACGTCCGCGCTGACCAGCCCTCGGCGAATCTCCCTGACGGAATACTGAAGCTCGTGCAAATCCAAACTTTTGAAGAGACAACTTACAACACAAGCTCATGTATGACTAGACCTGGTCGTCCATGCGTTCACCCACTCAATTGCGCTGGCACACATGAACAGCTGGACACAATTGTGTGTGGCGCACGTAAATGCCCGTCCTTGCAATTGCAATGTCACAGCTATCAGCAGGAGCGATGACGGTGCATCCAACCAGCCCATTAGTCATCTGCTTGTTGGTCCTAACAACGTCCTCGTCGAGTTTTTCACAGAGAGC